CGGTGGCATTATAATGCATCCGTAGGTTCTGAGGTCGAGCCATTTTGGAATGAAAGCTCACATTATACCTTCATTAATTGGGCCCACCCTAATGATGAGACGGAGATATTGTATGGTGACGATGATGATCACGGTGGCTGGCAATTAGGGGATCCTTTATATTTGTATCAGGAGTTTCGTAGCAAATCTGAAATGCAACATGCAGTCAAATAATATTGTATGAAGGCTCACCGTACTGCCGTTGTGGCAAAAAGTGATGACCATAGATTTGTGATGAAGTGTCGACACCATAATGATGGATGTCCCTGGTATGTGAGGGCATTGTTGCCGAAGAATGGAAATACTTGGGTGGTTAGTAAATGGGTTAAAGAACACACCTGCCTAAACCAAGGTCTTACCCGGGATCATAGACAGTTGGATTCTGATGTGATATGTGCAACCATTATCAGTATGTATTATTCGATATATCTAACTTCCTAAGGTATGTTAACGTTAATCAGTTTGTATTCTGACTGTTGGCCGGTGTTTTTTTTTATATAGGTATGTTAAAAGAAGATCCATCATTGAAGCCAGTTCTTATTCAAGAGAGGGTACAACGTTTGTATGGATACAACATATCTTACAGGAAAGCTTGGAAGGCTAAAATGAAAGCCATTGTCAAGTTATTTGGCGACTGGGATAAATCGTATGCATTCTTGCCTGGTTGGCTGACATACATGACGCAGGTTAATGTGGGTTCTGTGTTCAAGATTGATACAGACCAATGTGTTGATGAACGTCGAGTGTATACGGATAAGGCTGTCTTTCACCGAGTATTTTGGACCTTTCACCAGTGCATTGAGGCCTTCAAATATTGTAAACCCATAATCCAAATTGATGGCACGCATTTGTACGGTAAATACAAAGGAACATAACGGCCTTCAAATCTTAGTCGACTAAATATCGATACTTAGTCGACTAAATATCCCAAAAATGTAGTCGATTAAGATGATTTTTTAGTCGACTAAATTTGCGGTAGTCCACTTTCTGAAGATTGACCATTTGCTCGACTAAAACAGCAAGGTAGTCGACTAAAAGGGGGCAGGTTGGTGGATAGTTCTTGATCAGGGGCAAATTGGTTATTAATTAATTAATGAGGGGCAAAAGGGTCAAAAAGCCTCTGTTGATGACTACTTCAAACCAGAAAATAATTTTAAAGATATTCCAAATTAGAAAACTGTTTCCCAAAGTGATCAATTTCCCTTCCTAATATATATAATGAATTACCTTAACTTTTTCTCAGTATTTTTCTTCTTGGTGTTAGGCTCGGGTTGAAATGAAATTCAAGTAGAATAATATATTTAATGATTATTCATTTTTATTATTACATTCAAATATTTTTATTTGATAATGATTTGATTCTATTTTTAATTATTTTTTAAGAAAACAAAAGCTATTTTTAATTTTTATTAGCTTTATTTTTAATCAAAACTTTCATATATTATTTTTTAAAATTTATATTTTTAATTTTACTTTTTAAATTATAACTGCAAAGAAAAAAATAAGGGAAAAGTTCATCAATGTCCTTGTGATTTGCTTTAGAATCACCTATGCCCCCTATATTTTTTTTTATCACATATGCCACTGAGAATTGTAAAAAGTAAAAAAACACATAGGCATATGTAATAAAAAAAATATACCCTTTCGTAAACCATAGGTGCATAGATGAACTTTCCCCAAAAAAACAAAGATACTATCTAATAAATGAAAAAAAAATAAACATCAATAAAATTGCAATAAAATAAGATTTTTTTTTTTTTTTTTTTTTTTTTTGTAGTTGATAGAGCATAGCCCCAACCAACAAATTACATAAGACTAATTCTACGCCTACGGCTAACATAAGCCAAATTCCCTAATTTTAAGAACTTAGATCTAAAGGAATATTATAAAAAATAACACAATTAGAATTCCTATCTTTAGTCAAGTGGTAGCTGGCTAGCCAATCCGTGTACACATTCCCTTCCCTATAGCAGTGGTGGAACATAACTCTCTAATCCTTCTTAATCTATGCCCGAATACGAGACACCATGTGATTCTCTCGGGCTTCATTTCCAGGTTTGGTAAGCATAGTGATTACAGATGTTGAATCACTTTCAATGATGACTTTACGAAGTCTTCTTTCTCAAGCTAGTTTCAGCACCTTGAGTACTCCCAAAAATTCAGCAGTGAGAGGAGAGCATGTGCCAATTTTTAGAGCAAGTGGAAAACGTCAATCTTTTGGGGATTGCAAACCAGGGACATATTTGGGAAATATGACCTGGAAATAAGTCCACTTTTCAAGAAATCGAAATGCAACTCAACATTCCTGAATTTGAAGTCTATGATCATAATCCAATTTATGATGATTGATGATAATTCAATTTATGATGATTATCCAATTTAAATAATTATCCGATTTATGATGATTCTACGATGATTATTTAGTTTATGCTAAATCTAATGGGGAATTAAATGATGGAGATTTAATCGAGGAAGAATTGTCATTTTTCTTTCTACCTAAAGAGATTGAGATAAATGAAGATAAAGAAGATGCGAGGACGAATTTTTTTCTTAGCGGGGGAGAATGATGCACTTACGGTTGGCCTATTGGATATGGCCCAACCATTGATTCAATAAACTCAAAGTTAACCAGAGTTGTGACCTAATAAGTATGATCAAAATGTTGAAAAAAACAGTTATTTAAAATATAACTAATTATGATCAAATCCAAGTCCCAATAAAGCAACATATATGATTGTGATTTGTTTGGCAGGAAAAGAAAAACAACAAATTTGGCATGATTTGAGATTTAAGATTTGAGACGTATTTAGAGTGATTTAATTGTAAATATTTATTTATTTTTGGAAGTTAGTTACCATTATATTTATGTTAGGAATTTTTCTTATTTTTAGGATTTTTGATTTTGGATCAATTAATGGAAAACCAGAGGATTACTCTATTGCGAAATCATAACTTTTTGTTTAACCACTTTTTCTATCTGCTTTCGGCATCACATCCATTTTCCCCATTTTAAATCTACATTTTCTTTTTCTTTTTTTTAGGATGATATTCTGGTAACGATTAGAGATAACAATCCAAATTATGAGTTCTTATGTTCACTCTTCTCCAAATGTTCATCCAACATTTTCAGCTCAGAGCATATCCAATGTATCTTAGATTATGTTTCCAATAGTGAAAGTGGAAATAAGAACTTGAAGGATTCTTCTGCAAATCTTCTTTTGGTGTAACAAAACTTGTTGCTTAGTGGATATATACTTTCTTTTAGTTGGTTAGTTTTTTTTTTTTTGGCCGAGAGAGAGGGGTGGAGGGAATAAATCATTTAACCTGCTGCATGAAAATGAAATTAGGCACTAGACGATGCAAAATACTAGAGTGTCGCAATGACCAGCGAAGCATTCCAACAAAGGTAGCTAACCAAAACAGTGATGGCATAATCTGTTCATGCTGTTAATTTGCTTGTTATTGTATATATCATGCTGCAAATATTTGAAGTGAGGTTCATGTGGTAGTATTTGCAATTGTAGTCATAATTTATAAGCCAAAGGCCTAAAGAATTGCTAGATAGTTTACATCCTTGAGTCCTTGATTGATGACTCACATTTATTTTGGGTAGTTTATATAATAAAAAAGAAAGATAATTATCAATTGGTGAAGGAAGGAATGTCAATGACAATGCATGAACCACATAATGTAACTGCCTTATATTCCTTGGGAATTAACCTTAATTACTTGAGGCTGATATCCTTTGTTTGTTATGTTTTGTATGAAGTAGTACAAAACGGATTTGGGAAGCCTGTTATTTTAGTGGTGTGTTTTGGGTGAGCTTTTGGTATTCACTTTTCAACGGGAGGTATTTATTTTTGGTAGAAAAAATAATTAGTCTATGGGTAAACTTTGGTTAATGCAAAGGCAAACTATACTCTCCAATGGAATAGTTGCTTCTCTTTTGGACTGAAGTTGCAAATCTCTAGTCTTTTTAGTTTACCTCTGTAAGTGTCCTTTGTTAATATTGTAAACACCAAACATGTCTTCTTGAACAAAGGACATTAACTTTTCGTGCTTTTTGGATGATATTTGCAAACATGAAATTGATTATTACAAAATCAATTCTTGCAAAAGCATTTCTCTCCATTGTAGAAATCTCTACTATTTCAAACATTGTTTATTTATTATTTTTTATTTTTTGAATATATGGAAATTAAGATACAGTTTGAACAAGGGAAAATGTATTCAATCATGATCTTTTATTGGGATTTTTTTTGTTATTATGTCTGCCAAAGAATTAACTCATCCTAAAAGCTTATCCTATAAGAAGGAGGCTTAAGAATGGTTTTGATATGTTTGTTTAAACACTCCTTACATGAAAGATCTTCAGCCTTGAAGAAAGACAAAGTATAGATGATAGATCCTTATGCTGAAAATTATACTTGAATGAAAATAAGGGTGGCTCAACCTATGAGGCACACTACAAAAAAAATGTTATTTAGCCACATTTAAAAATGTGGCAAACATTGATAAAAAATGTGGCTAACAGAATTTACCACATTTTGATTAAATGTGGCTAGAAGTGGTGTTGCAATAATTTAGCCACATTGTTTTATTCATTTTGCCACATCTTGACCGAGTGTGGTAGCCTTTTTTTAGCCACAATTATTGTATATTTAACCACTTTATAAATGTGGTTAAATTGTATAGTTTGCCACAATTAAAAAATGTGGTTAATTATATATGAAAACTTTTTTAACCACATTCACAAATGTGGCTAAATATATGAATTTTTTTTTTAAAAAAATAAAAAAATATAATATAATTTGGATTTAATAAATATTATATTTATAAAGAAATTAATAGTTCAAGTGCAAACTAATGAACACGATAAAATGTGAACCAAACTCCAAACTCTGTATCAAATTTTAGATTGCAAGTTTTTTTATTGATATCATTGAAGAATTTGTACAAGACAAGGTTTAAGTTCATATAAGCTAATCAAATTTTCTACTAACATTGCATAAGGGAAATAATTGGCAAACAAAACTATTAAGAATATTGCTATGGAATGTCGATACAAAAAAATTGTCTTTCGTGTAACTATGCACATCCTAGTCCTTTGAAGTGTTATCTACTCTGTCGCACCTGCACAAAAAAAAGAGAGTATATCATAACAATGAGATTCTAAACTATATGCTTAAAGATTAAAGTCAAATCATTGAAACAGGTGGGACTAAAACTCTAAAAGATATATCAATGAGATTCTAAACTATACCAACCTTATGTGTTTTCCTCGATTCCCTTTTATTATGTAGGAGTTAGATAGAATAGTTCACAACAAAGAAATAAATAATTACTAGAGTTTAGCCAACTTGTTTGTTGGCTGGTCTGCACAACTTGATGTCATTCAAATGAAAAGAAGATAAATAATTTAAGAAAGATAGTTGTACTAGATTCTATGAGGCGAGTTCAAATCTGTCTAGCAGCTTCACTATCCACATCCATGCGAACTCCTTTGTAAATCTCTTCAAGATCATTATTTCTCTTAAAACTACATCCTTTATCTTACTAGCATTTAAAACATTTAAGCTTAAAACTTCAACTTCAGCTTGAAAATTATAAATAATGAAGCAACTTACTCAAATCTTGCAAGTGAAAAATTGAAAGGCAAGCTCAAGCCAATAAAAGTTTTAGCGGCTCAATGACATGCCCCCACACTTCACTGTTGACATTACTTTAGTAATATGAATAAAGGCCTTTTACTTATCAATTTTGGTGATGCCCTTAATGACATAATTAACAATATTTCCCCCAAAACATGAAGGCCTTGTTTTCAACTTTTGGTGGTCCTTCACCAAGGCTTTTTCATGTCCTAAACCTGGAATTAGGCAAACCCCCCTCCCCCCGCCCTCCCCCTCTCTCTCTCTCTCTCTATTTCAAATATTTTTTTAAACAAAAATAAATTGTAACCACAAACTACATTATCTTAAAAATACAAACCAAAGAATAGGTGAAGATTCATATGTCATTTTTGCATGTCCTTAGTATCAGTTATCTAATCCATATATAATGTTACGTCCGTAACCTTTTTAAATCTCATTTGGGATAAAGATTCATATGCCACGTTTTTCCAAAAAATAATATACATATGTGTGGAACCTATGAAAGAGAAACTTTGTTACATGATGTTGAAGACCATTATGTGTGGAACCATGTTTAATTAAGGTCATGATATATTGTGTTACCTGGGGTAATGGTATTGTAATTGAACAGCCCTGATAATCTTCTTGTGGTTCGCTCCTGCAATCACAATAACATAAGAAAATGTGTTGAAAGTGAAAAGGAAATATTTCTATGATAATTGAGAACTTTGCTAGAATATTGTGATATCAAAATAAACTTGGATTTGCTAGAATATTTTGGATACTAACGTGTAAATCTAAGCTAATTATTTGAACCAATTACTATGACAGTATAACCGAATATTTTTTAGGCAGGGCACGTTCCTTGTTCTATTCGTACAGGACCACTGGAATCGGCTTACGAGACTATTCCTGTTGATTTGATTGTAAAGGTTTGAAGTTATAGTTTTATATATATATATAGGAGCTTATTATACTACTCTAAGCTATCATATATATTAGGCTATCATATACTTTTGATTCTGAAATCTTATTATACTACTCTAAGCTGTCGTATTATTGATCTTAAATGTGTGAATTTTAGATAGGTCTAATAGGAGCTTGAGCGGTTCCACGGATAGAATTTTGGTTTTTATTTTATTAGACTAAACTTGCTACTTTGATCCTGCTGTTACAAAGTTTGCACCATGTGAGAAGTTGGTCCCCAAGGAATCAAGATATGCACTGACATATGGAAGTCCAAAACTCTGTGCTGAAATTACACAATTACATATCAAAATTAGAATTGGTTAGAGAAAAAAATGGGAATGGGTTGCAGAAAAAAGAAAAAGAAAAAGAAAAAGAAAACTCTTTTTCTTATTTAGATGAATTCATCGAGCAAAATAATACACTTTCCGGATCCCTTATTATTATTATTTTGTCTCTTAGCTTAGTAGGTTTAGAGCTTTTCAAAAAAAGTTTGCCACATTCTAAAATTATCGCTAAACGATTGCGCTTAAACGCTATTTTTCTTGTAGTGGAAGGGTAACAATAGTTCAGTAAATGAGACCTAGATTCAATCACAAGAAATGACCAGAATCATTTATCTCTTAACTGTGTCAGACATAATCAAATAGGAGCATTAATATAAATATAAAAAGAGACAGTGAGACACAAAAAATATTTTCTATTAGGTCAATATTTCTGTTCCAATAAAAATAGAGTATTCAATCAAGATTTACCGGAGAAAGCACAACAGCTGCTAGTTGAAGACTTGGTTCCAAGGTCTTTGGAAAACCTGCAAGCCAAGGAAATTTCAAGTAAGCATTCCACTAATAGCCAATTTTGCTAAAAAAGAGAGAGCAAAAATTAAGAACAAGACTCTTTTCCCACTGTTTTGGAATTGCACGAAAAGGTAATCAAAACAGGAATACTAGAATAAGTATGAGAATATTATAGTAGTAGCTCCAGCCATTTCTAAATTCAATCCAAGATCAACATCATGAGCACGATCAAAGGTCTCATATATATATATTATTCTACTTCACATTTGAGAAGTACTTGCTCAGAGCCCAAACTGTTCTATAATTTGCTATAGAGTTGTTGTTGTAGCACATGCCCTTTCAGCGCCAACCTTATGTATGACCTAGTCATGCATTAAAAAGAATAATGGATAAGAACATGTATATGTCTTGTGTACTGAAGTCATGTGCACTACCTCTCGACTACCAGCATCTCCAAAGTACACCGGGAGATCAAAGGCATGCCCAACTGCCACTCTGCCACTGAAGACGTTAGCAAATATGGAAATCAAGTTAATCTTTACCATTTAATCTTATAAGGATGGTCAAGATTAGTTTCATGTAAAACCAATCTTAACCATCCATGTATGGTTGTATGGTTAACATTTGCTCTTCTCACCTCTCATGCTTCTCACTTGATATGCCTATATATATATATATATATATATATATATATATATATATATATACAGCAGACATAGGATTTCATATGATGAAAATGCAGAATAGCTTTCCTGAGTAGTGTTTTAAAACTCAATTGATAGATGGAACACCAACCGAACATGGTTCATTCTTCTAAATCAGCACAGATGTTAAAGCATTAGAAGAAGCTTCAGAAATAATACATGAATGTCAGACAACATAATGGTAGTTAATTCCTAATAACAAACTGTCCTCAGCTCAGGTCATTCTCATCCAATCACAATTTGATTTAGAACTAGATCCACTGATAAGGAGCAATTCAAATCTACATATTCAACGACCCACTTGTTATTTTCAAATTACCTAATTTAATAATTGCTCTTTAACAATAACATACAATCTAACAATAAAAAGAAAAACCGATAATTTAATAATACCCAACATAAAATATAAACAAGTCAAGACAGGCTTCTCTGAGGACATATATCAAACAGTTGATAGATCCGAAACTCAATTGTCAATTTGACACGGAACACATTATAGATCTGAATTAAATTCAAAAGGAAAATTACCTTGCTCTTGGTGACAGAGTCATTGACATTGATAGCAGGGAAAAAGAGGGTGACATTGGCCTGCATCTGGTAGAGTTTCTTGACACCAGTGGTGGTTTCTTCGGAGACACCAACGAGCCTCTCTTTCATCTTGTGGTACCTCTTGGGATCGGTCTTCAACCCATCCCTGATAATGGTAAGCACGAGCTGAAACTCCGCATTGTCGGTGGAAGCCGGATCGGGGAGCTGACCGGTCTGCTCGTAAGCCTTGAGAGCTAGAGGACAGTGGGAGAACGAGGAGGAAGAGAAAGATCAAGAGCGAGAGGAAGAACGAGAGTGAGATGAGAGAGAATCAGAAGGGGATGAGAACTTCTAGTTTGTTGCAATCTAGATCGGAAGGCAGAACTTCAAAATTTGTATGAGCTTAATGCTAAACTTCGTTGAAGATTTGGGGAATCTTTTTTGGTATAAACAGAATACAGAATGAATATGGAGGAAAACATTTTTTAGTAAAAAAAATTCAAAATTAATTTTGCTACATTTTGAAAATAGGGTTGCAAATTGAGGGTATACTTGTATTCTTACTTCATTATAATAAATGTGGTTAAATCCATGTGGCTATAGATCCTATTTTTTGTAGTGGCAGTGATATGTTCTTTCTGCTGTCATATTTGTATTTAACTATTGGGATATAGATGTGCATATTGTTTGTACACCTGCCCTAAAGTCGCTGCCCTGCCTTCGGGAATTTCTATTGGTTATAAAATTTGCGTAATAATGGAAGGGGTTGAAACTTGAAACATGTTAATATATTTTAGACCTCTTGAAATAAAATGTTTCAAACATACTTCAAAACATCTAGAAAGGCAACAAGACACAAAAAAAAGTTAAGAAACATTATTGAAATGCACATAAACTGAATAAAATGTACAAAAAAACATTAAAGAAAGCTACAAAACATGTTAAAAGGATTTAGATTTTTTATTTTGGATGTGATGCATGTCCACTTATATGTGCATCTTAGTTGGATGTTGCGGAACAAAGGGGATTGTATTTCTCATGAAATAACTTATTCAGCGTAAAAGCTCAAGCCGCTATGTTTCAGTAATGATTTTCATGTGTGTTTGTATATTTTCTAGCAATGTCTAAGAGCATGTTTGTTTCACCTTTTAAAAAATGTGACTTTTATCTCTTCCTTATTTTAAGAGTGTTTTTTACAAAAGTTAAAGCTATTTATATTTTTATAAAAATATTTAGTTTTTGAAAAAAATTTGGTTTTTGACTTCTGCTTTTTGTAGAAGTTAAAAATTTTAGCTTATGAAAAAAAGTAGATTTTTGACTTTTTTTGTGGCTTCTGCTTTTTTTAAAAGTAGACATCCAAACGAACTAAAAATGAGAAGTGTTTTTTTCAAGAAAAAAAGCAACTTTTGAAGGGAAAAAAAGCCCATCCAAACAGGCCCTAAGTCTTTATGTTAAAGCAATTAGTTCAAAAAGTAGTGAAGATTTTGAATATGAAGTGATTTCATGACTACTAAGATTTTTAGATTTATTTTAGCAATGTTAGCCAAATTGAAGGAAGCTTATCTGGTTGTAGGAATCAAGTAATAGTCTCTTAATGTGTAACGTGGAGTCTTTCATAAATTGTTCTGCCATTTTACTTGAATCAGGCTATTGTTAGTATGTTCCCCTCAATGCTGAAAGGCTTTGAAAAGCAATTGCAAATGTTGTTGGAGCATAAAAGTCCTGTTAGTGACAAGCTGATTGAGGTTATACCAAAGGCAGGCTCTCACGTTTCTTTCAATCTCCTGGTTCTCTATGTTTTGTATGTATGTTGAAAGACATAAAACCATGTTTCTAACAAAATTAAACGGTAGAAAGTTTGCTTTAACAAAACTTATCATTTAGTCCTTACTATTTCAAATAATATTGGTATGACATGTAATGTATCTGTTTTAATTTGAATGAATTTTGTAAAAGAAACTATTTTTTTTATATCTGTTTTGATTTGAATGAATTTTGTAAAGGAAACTATTTTTTTTATATCTTGGTCCGTAATGCTTTTCTTAAAAGGGCAGATGTCTTAATGCCTTTTGAAAGAAAATTTTGAGATAAAAAAATCTTATAAATTTTAAAAGACTATCTAGAATTATAGAGACTTTAAAAACTTTTTTCAAAGACTTTTTTAATAATCAAGATTTTATAAAATTGTATTTTAAAAGATTTTAATAGAATTTATAAGATTTGAAAGAACAATATAGATTTATAAGATTTTAAAAAATTATATGAATTTTTAACAAACATTCAAAGATGACTCTTAAGAAGATACTCAAATCAAAAATTTATATGCATAAAATTCATTAAAACTTTGTGATACCTTTGCATGCTATTAGTGTGATGGAGCATGTTATCCACATTTAAAATTTTTTATTTCATGTTCATCAATATTTTAAAAAATGTTTATTAAAATTATTATATGAAATTATTTACAGTAAATGCAAATGTATTTATCACAATTTAATAGATCATAAAGTGAAATGCTGACATATTGACTGTGTAATGGGCATTGTTCTTCTGCTCATTGTCTTGTCAAACAGTAACTTGTATCCAATTATCCATTATGGTATGAAAATGCTTAATATTGGTGAGTAGATGCTCTTTTAACTCAAAAACGAAAGCAAGTTATGCAATAGCAACAACGATTTTTTTCCTTGTTATTCAACAAATGAATGTTGAAATTTTGTCTCTCATTGTGTACCTAATATAGTGCATAAAAATTCTTGAGAAATTTTTATCAGCAATATGACATGAATCTTTCTCGGCAATATGGTGCATGAATTTTCCTTGTTAAATCAAACATGACATGAATTTGAAAACAGGTAGAACTAAATCTTTAACACAAATACACTTATTTCGTGATTAGAATGAGACACAAATAATTCCTCAACCTCAGAGTGAGTCCCTTGTTATACATGTTGACACGATATGATATGACACAAACAACCTATATATTGAATGTTGTTTTCACCAATATTGTTTTAACACATGACACAAATAATTTGTAAGAAGATTAATACCGGTCAATTTCATGTTCAGGAGTTGGCATAAACAATACAACACAAATTTTTTTGTGTCAGTTTTTACCAATACAAATACCATATGAATTTGAAACCAAGCGGACCCAAATCGAATTTTTCGTGTCATATCAGTAAATCATGTTAAAATTTATCACACTTATACACAATGAAAGGCGTCGATAGATGAAAGCAGTTCATCCTTCTATCTCTCTTCGTCTTCTTCACTAGCATCCTTCAAAGCACCCTACCACATCATTTGCTATGTGTTCTGGCCCGGTTGGATGGCTTTGCCTAGCCAGCCCATATGGCCACCCAGCAAGGCCACCCTTGCTTAGCATGTGATGCGCATGACTCCTTTGTACACGTATCCCCTCGTACTTCCCATGTATGACTTTTTTCACATTATGGTCACACAACTTCACACCCAGTGGGGCCTACAAGTTAGAAATGATTATGACTCCACACTTTGCGCACTTAAAAGGAATCTCTAACTTTCTATGTAAAAGGGACATTCGCTCCATTATTTCCCCATCTTCTTCGTTCGCTTTCTACTATTATTATTTTAATAAATTCTCTCCTCAAGCCAACTGTAACACAGTTACTCTTTTTCCTTTTCACCCTTAGCTAGCTTGAGGCTATTATGATTACTCTTTAGAGTTTTGATCCATATCATTACCAATGTCAAATTAATAAACTCCACCCTTACGAGTTTAATATGCATTGAGTCTTTCTTGTGTTGCATTCTTTTTCTTTTTTTTCAAAATCGTAAAAATATCTCATTTTGTAGGACATTGAGACGTGGCTTAAGTTGCTGAAAAGTTAGCAACTTTTGTATAAAACGGTTGTTCCCTTTAGTGCCTCATAAAATTCACTTAAATTTACATGTTAGTCAGAGTTGGTACTAAAAATAAAAAATAAAAAGTAATCAGCTCTGTTGATGACAACTTCAAACCAGAAAATAAATTTAAAGATATTCCAAATTAGAAAATTGTTTCCCAAAGTTATCAATTTCCCTTCCTAATATATATAAGAGAAAAGTTCACCAATGCCCATGTGGTTTGCTTCAGAATCATTTATGCCCCTGTGGTTTTTTTCCTATCACATATGCCCCTGTGCTTTGTAAAAAATAAGAAATCACAGGGGTATATGTGATAAAAAACATACTCTTTTACAAACCACAGGGACATATGTGATAAGAAAAAAACCACAGTAGCATAAGTGATTCTGAAGTAAACCACAGGGGCATTAGTGAACTTTTCCCTATATATAATGAAGAGTTTAAATTATCTTATGTTGAAGAAGAGAACTCTCTTATGTCAGTGAGACATTAAAAGTCGTGCCATTATTATTATTATTATTTTTAAAAATAATGGGATCCACATAATTTGTTTCTATAACATGTGATAAGCCATCTTATGCTACATGAGATAAACAAATCCCTATAATAAATTACCTTAACTTTTTATCGCTATTTTTCTTGTTGGTGTTTGTCTCGGATTGAAATGAAATTCGAGTAGAATAATTTATAATGATTATTCATTTTTATTTATCACATTCAAAAAAATTTATTAGATAATGATTTGATTATATATTTAATTATTTTTTAAGAAACAAATGCTGTTTTTATTTTTTATTAATTTAATTTTTAATCAAATTTTTCATGTTATTTTTTTAAAATATTTATATTTTTAATTTTATTTTTTAAATTATAACCACAAAGAAAAAAAACAAAGATACTACCTAGTAAATAAAAAAATAAACATCGATAAAATTGCAATAATATAAGTTATTTTTTTTAAGGGTTTAATATTTCTTATGTTGGAGAAGATAATTTTATCTTCAATACACATATAAAAGTATGTAGGGTCTATATCTTGTTTCTCTTTTATTTTTATATGGATCCATATAGACTCACATATTTTTATATTATGTAAAAGATAATAGGGTGCATATTTTCTTATGTTGTAGGATAGTAGGAGAGAAAAAAAATAGAGATAAGTTAAATGTGGGTCCCACATTTTAAATTAAAAAAGAAAAAAAAAATTAATTGGCACGGAAAACGAATTTGTGTAGGAAAAAGTTCTTATCTCATGTAGATGGAGATAATGATTTCCCAAGATAATATAACATAAGAAATATCAAATCTTTTTATTAATGATACTAATAAGAGTAAAATCCCTTTTTGGTTCTTAACAAAAAATACGGTCCCCACTTTAGTGTTTTATAAAAAAAATCCTAAGGTCCTTACGAAATTCAAAGTGAACGGACTCATTTAGTTGAAATCGTGATTCTCATAAATTCAAAAAAAACCCACATTAGTCTCTTAAAAGGACTAGAATAGGTCTACTTTAAATTTTATAAGAGCATGACTAATTTTTTTTTTATAAGAGACTAAAAGTGAGGATCATATTTTTTTTTTATGATCCATTTTGTTTTTTAATCTAATAAAAGAGCCAAAAATTTGTAAAGAAAAAAAAGCCCAAAATAAGTCCATGAAATAGCAAGCAAGCATGTTGTACAGTTGTAGTGTTGTGTTATTGTCTGCGACTCCAACCAGTTACGGCTAGATTCGCTACCTGTTATGCGAACTTTCTCGAAGCATTTCTGAACTCTTAAGAATAAAAGATGAGCATCTTCACTTAGCTTCGTTTGTTTCAATTCACTCTTTCTCAGATATCAATGGCTAACAATCACGTCACCACTGATTCCCCTCTCTCTCGTCGCATAGTTCGTGCCTTCCTTCACTTCCTCAACTCTGGTATTACCATTCCTCTCTCTCTCTCTCTCTCTCTCTCTCTCTCTCTCTCTCTCTCTCTCTCTCTCTCTCTCGCATTAATACCAATTTAATTGCCACTGCAAAATTTTATCTTTTCCATGTAATTTTGCGTGGCGAGTGATTTTGTGAATTGGGTCGCTTTATTTTTTCGTGATTAATTAGGTTGAAGTTGCCAATTATCACTGAATCCATTTTCTTGTCGTTTAATATGCAAAAGGGTAGAGAAATTTGTTGTTTGGTTTTCATTTAAGTTGCCAATTTAATTTTTATTGCAACCAATACCCTCTAATTTGTTTCCCGTGTATTAGTTGAACCTAGCCAAGGGATTGATGATGAAGGGATTGAGGTTGCTAGGGAGTGTTTGGCAGAGGCATTTAAGCTTAACTCATCTCCTGTGACCGGTGATCCTGAGAAATATGATTCATTGATTGACATGTTCAAGTCCCTTGAAGAAGCAAACAAGCAATGTGAAACTAGTAAGTCAGACGTTGGTCCTCAACCAGATTCTGTGGATGCTTCCAGTTCATTCTCTGCTCAGAATCCTGCTCATACTAAAAATAATCCCGAGGCATCGAAATCTACGGTTAATTCGCACTTACCCTTTTTTCCCACTTTGCGTTAGGCCAATTTGCTAATGTCAAATATCAATTTTTTTAAAAGGTCAAATTTTGGACTGTTGGTTTGTGGGTCCTTGCTTGTTTAGTTGATCAAAACTTGCTTTTGTCTCTTTCACACTTCACACTTTTCTTGAATTGTTCTTATTAGATTTATGTGTTGAGCACACGATACATGGGAATAACTTCTAGCGCTGCTACTACCATTCATTTTTTGACAACTATGTGACAACCATCTCAGTATCTCCTTAATTTTAGTCAACTAAGCCATGTTTTGAAAATGGTTCACATGCAAAACAACGAATTGCAGTAGGACTAGAAAACTGTCCATTACGCACCTGCCAATTTTCTAGTGGTTATAATATGGAGCCCTTCTATTGTCAATTGTTGAGAGAGTATGTGCGTGTTTGGATTAGCTTATTTTGGGAAAATAGTTGCTTTCTTTGTAGTTTTCTCAAAGAGTTTTTTTTTTTTTTTTTAAGTGATTATTTCCCATAATTAATTAGTTACCAAGCACGTGCTATGTATATGGATTTTGGAAATAAGCGTTGCCTTTGATGGGCTGGCTATTCTAGGAAATGGTAATTCATGAAAACAAAGATAGGGCTCACTGACATCCTGTAGGCTGTACCCAAAAAAGATAGTAGGCATTGAATGTTAAACCATGTCCAAGCCATCTAATTAATGTGGTTTTTGTTCTATTTAATAGTTTTGTGGTTTGATATGTATATATATATGTATATATATATATATGTATATATATATATATATATTGTTGATTTGATGTTATGCTGTTGGAGGACCAAGTCAGCTGATTATTGTAACCTTTTTTAACTTGCTTAAGGTGTTTATTGGTTTTGCTAATAAGATTTTGGAAGTCAATAAACAATTTTATGTCACGTTGATGCAGAAGTGTGTCATGAATGATGTATCTTCTTTACTTTCAAAGTTCTTGCAGTTCATAATATTGTCACATTGATTTAAAATTGTGTCGTATTGAAATTTTGAATTTTGGTTCTGATTTATTTCATAATATATAACTTGATTAGGATGAAGGTTGGACACAGGATCCTCACATATTTGGTAGGCTAATCTATCCCCCCTTTTTTTTTTTGAAATTTGAGTGACTGTAAACTTAACCCTTCATGTAGAGTGTGTTGTGTTTATTGTATTTATGATCTTGAGGTTCTCATTTAGAGGATATTTCTTGTGGGACAAGTTTATGATTTTGTAACATTTAAATTTTTTTATTTGTTGTACCTTGAGCTTGCTCTTGGGTGTGAACCCCTTTGACGGGCTTCAGTCTTCACTACAAGTAAAAGTAACTACATCATTTTGTGTTCTTTTGCATGACAAATTTAATCCACTTAATCCTTTCTTTTGATGGTGATATTTGTGGAAGTAAAAATGACATTTTTTTATATTTTGAAAAAAAAATCTTGATATATTTAACATATTTATGATTTATCTGATTGTTAATGGGTAATAGAGAAGGCATTAATTTTTTTTATTTTTTTATTTTTTTTATTTTTTTGTCAATTATTATTAATATAGGAGAGTCTGTTTAGGTTGTTTGTGGTTTCATTCTGCAGAAAAGTTACTCTAACAATAATAAAGTTGTTACATATTTTTGTTGTCATTCAGATTTCATGAAAGTTGGCATACCTAAAAAGAGTAATTTCAATTTATTTTTTGGGTTTCGTTAATGTGTACCCTTAAGGCACAGGCTAAGAAATAAAAATAGGAATTGTTAAATGAAAAGTACAAGCATCTAATATTTTGAAAATCCAAAAAGCATATAATACTTCCTTCTTTAAGTAATTAAAATTAAAATGAGAGATACATTCTATTTTTTATTCCTTAACATGTTCTTTAAGGGGACACATTTGCAAAGCTTATTTATTTTTATTTTTTTTTATAAAAGAAATTCATTAAGACACAGAGAAGATGATGCACTTAGAATTGGCTTACATGGGAAGGCTTAGATTTTGAACGTGATTTTATATCTTTTCTTAATTTTTTAATTATTAGGTTGTTTTGATTCTAATTATTTCCTTATTTTAGGTATGTTTAATGCTAATTGATATGTAATCAGCTATATTTGAACTTTCTTTTTGAGGCATTTTTTTTTATTGTGTTTTGGGGTTAGTAAAAGGGTGTTTAGGATTCCATTTGTAGGTTGTTGAATTTTGAATATTGATTATTGTTTTTGAGAACTAAGGGTTCTCTTTTATCAGTTCCCAAATTCGTTTGTTCAACCTCTTTCCTATGCGTTTTGGCATTAGAAGATGATTACAAAGTGGTAGAAGGATAAGAGATCCTCCTTAAACAAAATAAAAAAAGAACAAGCGAGAGTGATTTCAGAATATTACACACGGAATGATTTTTCTTCCCTTAAATTTTTGGTATAGTCAAGGTCCTCTTTAGGTCTAGTCCAAATGCAATCTTGGATTTAGGTTTCTCAGTATTGAACTTTTTGCAGTATTCTTAAAAGGTTTAAGTAAAGTTACATTGATAGTTTCCCAACATTTGACAGCAGCATCTAAAGATGAACTCTGTGGACAATTCTTTGCTGCTCTGGAGAAAAATCACTATTTTAGGACCAATGTTGATGGGAGTGATGACCCAGTGCAACTGGAGAAAGCATCTCATTTATTTGATAATGCTTTTATGGTATGGCATACTATATCATGAATAAGCATATGTTACATTTTCAGCTGATGTTGAAACTTAAAAATACCTGTTAGTTTACTTTAAATGTTAATATATCATTCTTATTTGTACTTGGGTGTATGTATAAATTTATTTTTTTGGTCAGAAAAGTAATTCTATACTATTGTTATCATTTTGTTATAATTATAATTGGTTTACTTCTGTCTGTGTTTACACCACTGATTTCTTCTTAGCGAAAAAAAAAAGCAAAAAATAAATTTACACCATTGATTTGAAATCAGAACTCAACATGTGCTTGATAATTATTCATAAAAATGTTGTAAGCCTGAATTCTCAATTTGTCATGTCCTGCTAACCTTAGCAACTTGAGTGAGCAGGTTGCAACTCTAGTAAGTAGGTGTATTGCTGGTGCTGTAGGACTTTCCGTAGTTCAACTTGTGATTCTAATTATGTTACTGTACTACAAAAAATCACTCCCCGTTAAACCCGAATAGTGAGTGTGGGGTGGAGGAAATCCTTGTACGCAGCTTTACCCTTGCATAATTGCAAAGAGGCTGTTTCCTGGATTCGAACCCATGACCTTCAGTCACGAAGGAATAGTTTTACCACTGCTCCGGTTTGCCCCCTATTAATTATGTTACTGTACTGCTCTATGAAATTTAATGTAGGATGGAAAAATGGTGTGCGAGCTCATTAGAGAGATGATATAGGGGTGGGAAAGATGGGGACCTATGTAAGAGTGTTTGCACACAAAGGAAGAATCATAGGAAAAAAAATTCACATATTGATGTCCAGTTATACTTGCACCTAATGTTATTGGAAGTGACCATGTATGTTTTTAGAGAAGCCCTGGGCAAGATAAGTGTTTTACAAATCGGGTCCGATCATTATTCTAAAATTGAAGATGTACCCAGTGTGGCTACAGGTCTCTGTTTTTATATTCATTAAATTGGCTAGCAGTACAATGTAGTACAATATAGTATAAGGGGCATATATGCTCTCCGTATATACTTGCACCTAATGTTATTGGAAGTGACCATGTATGTTATTAATCATATGCATCGTACACTTAACCTTCAAGTTGGACTGTAGATGTTAATTACAAAGTTATCAAATGCGGATTGCGGCATGTCGCGGCCAACCCCAAAAAACACTATAGCGTTATAGCGGATTGCGGTTGCGAAAATAGCGGAATAGATATATAACATAAATAATGACAAAAAAAAAACATTTTCTAAAGGCAAAGATAGCAGAGGTGACACAGAGAGACGTAGATAGACTAAAAAATTGACATTTTGCCTTATAACAGCAATATAGACGCAATTTGGCCGCAAATGCAATCGCAATGGCTGCTATTGCGTTCCGATGCGGCGCGATACGATTTCTTGCGGCGAGGCACCGCAATACCCATTTGGCGGGGCTCACGACGCTACTGCGGCGCAATTAACTACTATGGTTAATTATGCACAACTTGTTATAAAGGTTGATGGAAGATCTGGCTAATGTTGCCTATGTTGGGCAAGATTTAAAGTAGTCTTCATAAAGGCCTCAAATATGGTTTTCAATCGTCTCTGTGATTGTTTATTTGTCCTCAAACTTAGTAGCTTGAAAGTCATTTTATGGAAATTACTTGTCAACAGTATTGACAAATCATTATATGAATAGATAATGGAAGGGGGGACACTGTTGAAATTATAGGAATTTAGTTAGAGAAGGAGGAAAAGAGAGAACAAACTATGAAAAATATATATATAAGGCACTAAGCCTTATTTATACCAACCAGACTCCGAATCTTAATTACATAAGGAAACAAATCATGAAATAAAACAAAAAATGAAAATGACTCCTAGGAGGTCTTCTCAGATACTGTGAAACATTATAAGATACACTATTGATATTATGAAATATTTTAAAGATATTCTAACGGATACCTTGCAGGATTTTGGATAGGAGGTTGGCTGAGGGCTTGAAACTGCGTTTAGAGCATTAATAAATTTGGCTTTTGGGGAGGGTGTGAGGGGCGGCCATACATTCCTGTGTTCTGAAACTGCTTTTAGATGCAACTGTAGCATGATCAATAATGTTATTGGCTTTCTCCATCTAGTCCTTTGGGAATTTTTATTTGGAAATATAACTCTTTTGGTTCGAATACTGCTGCTTTTAGGGTTTTATTAAAACTGCTAGTTCCAATTTTCAATATATTACAATGACCACTGTATGTTGGCGGCTAGTCTGCCAGGATATAACTTTAACTTTGACTTAGGCAGCTACCAGCGGGTTTATTGATGAGCGATATTCTAGTCCCTTTTGTTTGTGTAACTTAAACCTGTGCACTAAAGTGAGAAGAAACTAATGAACCAAAGGTCGTAGCTCATTGCTTGTGTTTCATTTCTGCAAATTGAGACATTACTGTTTCATACGATGGCTTGTACGATTATCCCGATAGATAGTCAGTTGGTATATCAAGTTAGTTGAAGACGTGCACATTATTATTTCTACTACTACTACTAACAATTGTTTATTATATTATGTAATTTCTTACTCTTCTGTCTGTTCAATTCTACAACAAATACAGCAGCTAGGCTTTATCCCACTAGGTGGGGTTGGCTATATGGATCAATTGATGCCATTGGGCTTATGGGCTCTATCAAAGACCAAAATTTCAGTAAAACTGTTTGTTTAGGTCTGATGAAAGAAATTCTGCTTCTATGTAGGAGATGGAAAGATCTGGGTGTCGGGAGTTTAGTTTGAAGAATTTGGCTGAATCCCTAAAATCGCTAGGTATGAAAAGTGACTTTTGACTTTAAGTAGCTCAACTTTATCCTTCCTTTCCCTCTATCTATCTACCATACACAGACATTGTGGTATACATGATACATAGTGCATACTTGCCGGTGAGAATTGAATTATGAACATTTCTAAAGCTGGTATCAGCCTAAAAATGTCCTTTGCACTGCAGATTGGTGTGATTAATTGATTTAAAATTCGCATCTAAGAAAGTTTTGTTAAAGATTATCTACCCAGTGATAGATTTAATTCCCCAGGTAACAAGGCAGTGCAATCCAAGCAATTTCTTGATGCAATTGAGTTGTATAATTGTGCAATTGCGCTCTATGAAAAAAGTGCCGTTTTCTACTGCAACAGGTATTCCACTGGTTTATACCGTTTCTCAAATATATTACTATATTATTTTTTAGCATATCACTGAATATGTATTTTTATTCTGGAATGTAACTTATCAGTCTTGTCAAAGAAATGCCTCTGCTTCTGATTTTCAATATATGCAATAACTAATATGCTTTTATGAAGTATTAGTTTAGGGTAGGCTTGATATAGGTTAGAAAGTAATGTTTGTGATTTTTTTAACCATAAACTTCCACCTCCATTTTCAATTTATTTTATTTTTTGTTTTTTATTTTGTGGGGCAGAGGAGGATGGCAAGGTGTGTTGTTTAAGTAATGCTAAGATTTTATGAGATAGCATATTTTATTAAAAAGTGAGCTTGTTAGCACATCTGTTACGATCCAATTGCAAGGTATGAGAGTTGAGTCCCACATCGGAAACATAAGGTTCTGGTGTGAAGTTTATATGGATTTTGGACTCTTCTGCCTTACAAGCTAGCTTTTGGGTTGAGCTCTCCCAAGGTTCGTATCAATTAGTATCAAAGCCCTCCACTATGTCTCCCAGTTGCAATCGAACAACGCGGCTCGTGATGCTATCAGTGTTCGCCCAAGCTAGTAAAAGATTAGCACAAAGCTAGGCCGCGTGGGCGCTAGGGCTTAGAGCATGGTGGAATGTTACGATTCAATTGCAAGATATGAGACTTAAGTCCCATATCGGAAACATAAGGTTTTGGCATGGGGTTTTTATGGACTTTGAGCTCTCCTACCTTACGAGCTAGCTTTTAGGGTGAGGCTCTCCCAAGGTTCTTGGATAATTGTGAGAAACATGCTCTGGATGTTCAATATTTCTACGTTTTATTATGGAGTGTGGAGAAGAACTAAGGATATCTGTTTTAACTTAACAGGGAGAAATTATATCAAGTGGTTCATCAAAACTTGTTAGAATATCTGAAAAATATCTCCCCCTATAATTATTCTATCATAAAATGTTTTGGCTAATGTCCTTTAGGTTCAATGTACACTCTTACCAGTGAAGAATGAGGGGAGAGGTTGTGGTGGTGGATTACAATACCCAATGTATATATGCATTTCTCTAGTTTCAAATGTATTCTTCTTTGTCTGGTTCATATTTCATATTTCATGGGCAGTTGTCTGATTCAGAGTACCTTTGGCCCCATTATATTTTTCTGATTGAGATGCATTTTGTGCCTTCATTTTTCAACGCATATCAGGGCAGCTGCTTACACTCAGATTAGCAAATATACAGAAGCAGTCCAAGATTGTCTTAGATCTATCGAGATTGATCCAAACTACAGCAAGGCATACAGTCGTCTGGGTTTAGCTTATTATGCACAAGGAAACTATAGAGATGCTATTGATAAAGGGTTTAAAAAAGGTTCTTAAAGTATTATATTCATCTACTGTTATTTATTCTTATAATCTGTTTTATATATTTACTGGGACTTCTGCAGGGAATGTTGACTTTATGGTTATCTCCAGTTACAAATAAAGGTTAAATAGTGGAGATACCTTGTTAATACAATATTCTCAAAGTTCTTAAGGGTCTGTTTGGAGTACCTGATAAAGAAGATAAGATAGGATAACTTATCATATTCTATTTTTATCTCTTGTTTGGTGGGTCAATAGGATATGATTAGCTTATCCTATTGTCTCATTTTATCCTATCCAATACATGATTTCTTATTCTATGGAGAGAGCTGGGTTAGGATTCAACAGGATAGGATACCAATATTGGATACCCAATATATCCCCACGCTATCTAATATATTCCCACGCTACCCAATATATTTGTATTTATTGCATTATATTTTTCTTTTTCTTTCTCCTTCTACATAATCTTATCAGATTGCTAATCAGGTACTCATCAAACACAGGACATGATATAGGCTTGTCAGCCCTATATCATATCCTACCTTTATTAGTCCCATATCATATCCTACCCTTATCCTATCCTGTTCACCAAACGAGCCCTAAATGATTAGCTTGTTTTTTCGATTTGAGTTTCTTACATTTGCAGGAGCATGTTTCTAACATTAATAGTCAAAATAATTGATTTTACCAAAAATGCATTTTGTATTCATCAGAATTATAGTTAGAAAATGATTCAGTCTACAGACTTCAAATCATTATTGATTTATTACATCATTATGAGTATTGTTCCTAAGGTGGTTGGAATTTGGAAATGTTAGATCTTTTATTATATCATGATGAGTATTGGTTCCAAGCTTGTTGGAATTCAGAAATGTTATTCAGTGAATACGATAGAACTCAAGTTATTTAGCCTGAACATGAAGTTCTATCTTACAGCCTTGCAGTTGGATCCGAACAATGAGTCTGTTAAAGAAAATATACGGGTTTGTTCTGTTTTTCCTTTTCTTTCTGCTTCTCCTATTACTTTTTCTATGTGCTCACAATGCTGTTATTAACCACAGGTAGCTGAGCAAAAATTGATTGAAGAGCAACATCACGCAGATCATAATCAGGTATTAATATTGTTTCTTTTAAATAAAGTTAGGTATTATCCATAATCCATATTTCTGTTTTGGGTACTGCATGTGATCATATTGTCTTCAATTTATCTTTTTTTCCTGATCGATAATCGCTGTTTATAATACGATAGCTATAGCATTCTGATGAAAGTTTGCTCCAACATAATGACTTCAACTAAACTTATTTTTTCTTTATTCTTTAAAGAATTCAAGATCATCTCAAGAATCCCAAAACCAATCTGCAAGAGGATCAAGAAGCCATGCAATGCCGCCTCCATTTAACTCAATGCCATTTAATCCCAATGATATTGCAAGCATGTTTATGAACATGGCCGCAAATGCTACAAATGCACATCAGGGGTCGCATCCTCAGGAAAGGCAAGAAGATACCAATACTAGTGGAGCTAATGAACCAGAGATAAGAATGGGGCGCAATGTTAGTGTAAATTTTGACCAAATGCCTGAGCATCTAACAGGGGCCTTTCAATCTGTGATGGAAATGTTATCTAGGACTGTACCTCCTGACCAACCACAAGATCAAACCAATGGAAGAACAGCCGCAAATGCTACAAATGCACATCAGGGGTCGCATCCTCAGGAAAGGCAAGAAGATACCAATACTAGTGGAGCTAATGAACCAGAGATAAGAATGGGGCGCAATGTTAGTGTAAACTTTGACCAAATGCCTGAGCATCTAACAGGGGCCTTTCAATCTGTGATGGAAATGTTTTCTAGGACTGTACCCCCTGACCAACCACAAGATCAAACCAATGGAAGAACAGCACCAAACTAAGCTATTTTAGCATTCCGAGGCTGTAATAACATTAACAAATTTGTGTAATTTTTTTTTTCTTTTGTTTGAATTTTTTTTAACATATTACATAATTAACTGACAGGGTTCTCTCCGTTTGCACATTACATATATAGAACTTTTGAGGCACTAGCCTTTTGCGGAGGCAAAAATATATAAGTACTTGTCATTTACGTAATATCCTTACTTATTACAGGTTAATAAATATTGTGGATTAGGACGTGTAATCATTTTTTTGAGTTTAGATAAATACTGCTTGCAAACCTTTGTTCTATACACTGAACCAGATTTTGTTGTTTGTCTCATCGTGTTAGATTACAAGTTTGAGGGAACTGAGAACCTGTTGGTGGATGCAGGAGGGAGTTTGTATTTGACAAGAAGCTGAAGCTTTTTGCGAAAAATATACATGTGATATAATTATGTGCTTTATTAATCTCATGCAATATGAGAGAAGATTTATCATGTTATGAGACAATCATGTGTGGGATCCACCACTTATAAAAAAATGAAAAATGAAATAAAAAAATAACATGGAAATCGATGTATATGTAGGAGAGAAAAATATTCTCCTATAATATAAGAGTATATTTTTCCTATAATTATTATGATTTTGGTATAGCAGTAATAAGATTTTTATTTAACTATTTTGAAGAATTGCTAGAGGCCAAATTTCATTATATATATATATATATATATAAATAGGGGAAGGATACGTTTACAAACTTTTTTGAATTTTTTTTACAAATTACATATATATATATATACATATATAAATATATATATATACATACATACATATATATATATATATATATATATATATATATATATATATATATATTCCGGGAGAACATAGTGTAGTTTGTAAGAGTTTGTAAACAAAAAAGTTTGTAAATATAACATGCCCTATATATATATATATATATATATATATATATATATATATATAATTCTATTTTCTTACATGATATATGCATAGGGGAAGCAGTGGCGGAGCCACGTTGTACCTCGGTGTGACCTCGGCCCGGGCTAAATTTTAACAAATTATACTTATCATGTATAATTATATAATTAATTATAATTTGGCCCAGTCTAAAATTATAATTTGGCCTGGGCTAAAATTTGTAATTTGGCCCTATCAAAAAAAATATATTTAGTGAGAGATTTGGGTAAGTTGTATTAAGTTATGTGTTACATTTCAATTTATATAAAAAAATTAAAATATAAGAAAAACTTCAAAAAAAACCCTTATAACTTTTTTCATAATCATTTATCCCCTAACTTAAAGTTTTTTTTTATCATTTACCCCTAACTTAGGGGGTAAATGATAAAAAAAACTTTAAGTCAGGGGGTAAGTGATAAAAAAAATCTAAATAAGGATGTAAATGATTCAAAAAATTTGTGAGGGGGTAAGTGATAATTAAAAAACTAATAGGATTTTATTTTTGAAGTTTTCCCTAAAATATATTCAATAAAATTTAAAAATATTTAATAAAATTATAATTCTTTTTCATGCTTCCTGCTCAAGTAGAAAAATAAATACACATATAATTTTTTAGCCCGGGCTCCGGTTGGAGGCTGCCTCCGCCACTGAGGGGAAGGGCACATTTGTTGCATGGATATAAGGGGGAAAAAAGAGATATAATAGAAAAAAAAAAATACAGAAATGAGGATTATGGAAATTTTTAGTTTCACTTAGGAAAAATATGTAAATGAATTGGAACTCATCGAAATAAATAGTGAGGTTTGCGAAAATTAATTCGTTCATTCCTTTACCTTCCTTTATGTTCAAATATTTCCCTTTGCGTATACTATTAAAAGGTTATGTTTAATACATGGTATTAGACATCATAACATAATAACATGTTATGATTTTATTAATTATATGAGAGAATGGTTATATTTACAAACTCAAAGTTTATAAATTTTTATAAATTATATTATATAGTATGAGTAGTACATATTACTTAAGCATATACTATTCATAGTATATAGTGTAATTTATAAAAATTTGTAAACTTTAAGTTTGTAAATATAACTTATCCCATTGTTTGGTTTTAACATTGTTTTATACAAGTTTAGCTATCAAACCTATTTTAAATATAAAAATAATAGATAACTTAATCAGTTCTTTATAGTAGAATTAAGCTTGAATGAAAAATAAATTCAGATGGAAAATATTTATGAAAATTTCAAAAATTTCATGTAATTTATTCTAGGATTATTTATTCTTTAAATTCAGATCCAACAAATCCTTGAATCCGCTCGAAAAGCAGTTTCATGGCGTCAGAGACGACACGTGGTAGATGAGTTCATCTTCAACAATAATAACCTCAAGGCCAAGGCCCAAGGGTGTGGTCCAACTTACAGGTCACGTGAGTGGCTACTAATGGCCACTCATCATTTTGTTTTCATGTATTTTAAATGTTCGTATCCTATGTTCCTAATCTCAATTCCCCACTTTCCCATCATCATTCATCAATCATCACCCACCTCCTACCCACCATTTACTAACATGTACGTTATGTTTCTTCCTTAAATTTATAGCTCAATTATAAGGACTTTGTTAATTGAATAATCTATTAACATGTAGATATATTAAAAAAAAAAAAAAAACACTATTTAGGCATATTTATCTTCGCAATTTTACGCTATTACATAGTACCTTTATCTTACTATAATAATTTGTGAATGATATATATATACTCATACATATACATTATTTTGCATGTGCACAAGTTTTGATATCTAATTATAACTTACTTAATTTTGTTTACATTCTAATTTTATTACTCGAACACCCAATAACTATTTTTCTACAAATAAGCAACCTTATAAACGACGAAAGTTTCACAAAGAAAAAAGAAAAAAGAATGTTAAATTGGGTGAAGATCAATGTTGGCAAAAAAATTAAAATATTGTATTTAAATAAAATAATTACGCATTTAATGTTGTTTCGTAAAAAATTACACATCTACTGCACAATGTGACGCCAGTTTTGGGCGTCACATGTGACGCCCCATTGGGGCGTCTTATCCATGGGAGAGACGCCCCAATGGGGCGTCACATGTGACGCCCAAAACTGGTGTCACATGTGTGCTCTATATATTTCCTCACCCCCTCCATTCAATTCACACCTCTTCTCTCACTCTTCATATCTCTCTTCTCCACCAACATTCCTTTATCTTTAATTTAGTATTTGAATTTTAGTTGTAATTCTATTTAAAAATGAGTTCAAATCCTGATTCTGTTCGTGTTGTGTTATATTACAATGGTAGGAAGGTAGAAGGTCGACGAGGTGTCATATTCGAAGGTGAAAAAAGGCCGACACGTATCCAACGCAACACAACCATTGGCGAATTGCATCAGAGAATTCGGCAGAAGTTAAGTCTTCAAGACAACCAATGTATCACTGAGATCACGACAAGGGTGTGGCAAGGTGATAAATACATTAGTTTGAAAGTGCTTGACGATGAAGACTTGGAGATGACAATGGAAGAATTTTGCAACCAGTCAAGGACAGATTTTCTAGAGTTGTATGTCGACATCGTTGCAACGGAGAATGCTCGCATACCGGTGAGGTCAGTTTATTTAAATTCTCCCCGTCTTCCAGCTTCTCATGCCGCTCATGCGTCTCCAGTTGGTATCTTTTCTGAGGGAGATGAAAATGATCCGACTTGGGAAATGCACGACGAAGATGACGATGATGACGATGAAAATATGGCAATGGAAGAACATCTTCTGGCGGAGGATGCTAGTGCTTCAGAAGGAGATGAATCTCGTGAGATGGGTGCGTCTGAAATTCCAATATTCCATCAACCAGTCGTCGCGCAAGCCCAAGATGCCTGCCACATCTTGTAAGGTGATCGTCATCTCACCTTGGGTCATGTGAAAGGTATGTGTCTCTGGTCTCCACCTCTCGACCAGAGCACTAATTAAAAATGTATCTATCTGTGATAAATTACGCAGTTATCACGTGTTAACGAATTACATTATTTAATTACATAAATACAAAACGACATAAATAACATACCTGGATATGTTGCATCCTGGCAACATGTATGAAACCCGCCTATCTGAGGTACTCTTCCACAACCTGTGGAATAGCACCGGTAGGTGGGCCCCCTTGTGGCTTCCCACGCCTCGTCTTAATCTTTCTTACATGCTCAGTATTCCACACACGCTGTGAAATATGACCTTTCTGCGTCCTCTGACGAAGGACCTCCCACCTGTAGGGTCCAGGTATGATCCACATGCTGGGATCGGTGGGCTCTACATCCGAATCAGATCCCGAAGAAGATGATGACTCAGCCATTATCCTTAACTAACTACAAAGTTATGCACTCCCGCATTAATAACATCATACATACGAAATTTACAAAGTCTCTAACACTATTTATAAATCACTAATTAATATGTTAAACCCTAATACATAATTAAAAATCAGTAATAATAATAACTACGTAATAATAATATTACTATATCATTACAACATTCATAGCATGACACAAAATTTCTAAGTGACTATCCTAATGTTCCAAGTCTCTAATATACAATCAATCCTAACATGTATTACTAACTAGCACTGTAATTTAAATGTATACATATGAGGTATTATGACCTTACCTACGTTGGCAGAGCTTCGCTATGAACCGCGGTTAGAGAGAGGTTGGAGAGGTAAATGAGTAAGGAGTGAAAAAAGGAAAGTGGGGTATATATAGGTTGCACATGAGACACCCTCTTTGGGCGTCACATGTGACGCCCCACTGGGGCGTCTTCTCTAGGAGAGAGACGCCTCACTGGGGCGTCTCATTGTGCAACAGATGTGTAATTTTTAACAAAACAGCGTTAAATGCGTAATTATTTTAATTAATTACATTATTTTAATTTTTTTGTCGTTGATGGAGCGGTCAAAAGGATTGGCGAAAGGGCTGCTTGTGGCGGGTTAATCTGTTCTGCTGATGGTTTATGGCTTGGTGGTTTTGAGTATCATATTGGTGCTTGTACTCCAATTATGGCAGAATTGTGGGGAACCCTTAAAGGTTTGGAGATATGCTGGCAATTGGGGTTTAGGAAGGTGGAACTAGAAGGAGATGCTTCCGAAGTTTTCTCTATTCTTGCAGATTGCAATGCAGCTTGTCAGCCGCGCATCGTGGCTAAGATACAAGCACTTATTGCTCAGGACTGGGAGGTTACTCTAATTCATATTCCTAGAGATGCAAATTCATGTGTGGATTGGTTAGCTAAGTCTACTCTTCAGAAAAGATCTAGATTTTGGCATCATCAAATCATGCCAAATCAGCTTGCTCATCTTTTTGATCAAGATCTCCATGAGATTATTGATCCGGGATAGTTTGTAGTTTTTGTTTGTTTTCTGTTGGTTTTTGTTTGGGGCTACGCCCCTTATTGTTATAAAAAAAAAAAAAAAAGAATTTGGATAAGTATCATAGTCCCATTGAATGAACACGACATTTAGGCCTCATGCACCACATCCCAAACATTTTTATAACCAGATCCTGCGGCCCACAGTCACCAACTTCGCCGAACCACGAATCTTTTAGTCGCAAACAATTTATTTATTTATTTTAAATTATTCTTATTCGAATTAATAAATTAATTTCCTTTTCCTTGTTCTTCTCTGTTGCTGGCACATAAGCATGTAAATCAATGCATCACCAAATTTAGTATTCACGCTTTTACTGAAATAATAAATTTATCATCCGATCCATCAGTTTTATTTTTCGAAGAAATTTAAAATTTGTGATAGATTATTCTACCTATTATTTTTATTTATCTATCTTTGTCTATTATTCTAGAATATCATTATACCAGAATCTTAACTAATATTTATCTTTCTCTCTCTTCTTGAGATTCTGATGTAACAATTTTTTAAAATGATAGACAAAGATAGACAGACAAAAAAAATTATAAATAGATAGAATAACTTTTCCTTTAAAATTTTAATTATGGAATCATCTCGAATTCTAAATTATTTTATAGAAAAATATGGGATTATAAGATGATTTCTCCAAAAATAAAATAAAATTTATTTCTCCTTTTTTCCATGTTTTTTTTTTTTTTTTTTTTATATTTTCGTTTAGATCCAAAAAAATAAATAAATTCATTTTTACCAAAAGAGACCAGAGAGTTCGGTGTCCCGTGTTTTTCTAACCCAACTCAACCAAAACTAACGATTAAACAAAACAAAAAAATGTTTAGATTCTTTAGAAAGAGAGTTGATGACAAATGCAAAAAGACAAGTTGAAGTTGGGGAACTCGTTCTCAACTGAAACTCCAACGACAACCTCTTCCTTGTTCTCACCACCATTACCAACTCTCTCTCTCTCTTCTATTAAACTCAAAACTTGAAGCTTCAATTATAGTTGATAGTAGTAGTTGCAACACTAACTATAACCATGAGTCCCTACATTGTTGGAGTGATAGTCCCTCTCTTAGTCACTCTCCTCTTCCGCAATAAGGATCCCAAACGCCGCGGGGTTCCCGCCGACGCCGCCGGCCTGGTCATACGGAACCACCGGTTCAGTTCTCCGGTGAGTTCGGCGTGGGAAGGAGTGACCACACTGGCGGAGCTGTTCGAGGATGCGTGCAGAAAACACGGAGAGAGGTTGCTTCTGGGGACGCGGAGACTGGTGTCAAGTGAAGTGGAGATCAGCGAGGATGGAAGATCCTTCGAGAAGCTTCACTTAGGAGATTACCAATGGCTCACATACGACAAAACCTTCGATGCCGTTTCGAACTTTGCCTCTGGACTCGCCACACTCGGACATGTCAGAGAAGAACGTGCTGCCATCTTCGCTGACACTAGGGAAGAGTGGTTCATCGCCCTTCAGGTTTTGCTTAATCTCAAATTTAAGCTTTCCATACAAATTAAATTTTAAATTATATTTATTATTTTTAAGTAATTATTTTGTGGGTATGATAGTATATAATAATAAAAGTAATGCACTGATATAGGAGCCCGGCGTAAGAGTACGTATTTAATTCTACGAGTATCATAATTGGAAGATGTTTTAAACCTTAATTTTGTACTTGCCTCTAATATGATTGCCTTCCTTGGAACATACATATAGTTTCTCCAAAAAAATAATAATAAAAATAAGAGTAAAGTATCTTTTGGTATTAAACAAAAATCATGGGGCCAATTTAATCCTTAGAAAAAAATAAAAATGGTCGATTCGTGATTCATATAAATTCCAAAATAGATTCATGTTAGTTCTTGGTACTAATGCGGGTTTTTTTTTTTTTTTTTTAAATTTTAGAGGGACAACGATTTCGACTAACTAAATCTATTTAAAATTTCAGAAGAACCACAAGTCGATTTTTTTTTTTTTGAGGTATTAAATTAGACTCTGTGATCTTTGCTGAGAATCCAAAATGTACTTTACTCGTTCATTTAGATGTGACATTTTATATTTCCATAATTTATATCTATTTTCTTCAGGGTTGTTTCAGGCGAAATGTGACGGTTGTGACTATATATGCATCGTTGGGAGAGGAAGCTTTATGTCATTCATTGAATGAGGTTTTTTGTTTTTTCCTCTGTGTCTCATATAGTTGTTAATTTGGCCATAGCTTGTTTCTCAGTATTGTGATTTACTTTCTGGAACTTGTTTATGGTGGTCTGAAATGTTAATGTGTTTGGCATTATTTGAAGTTCGTGTGCTCTTTGTTTTGTTGTGAACTCACCTTCAAAATCCGTGGCAGACAGAGGTTACAACAGTGATTTGTGGGAAGAAAGAATTGAGAACACTTGTTAATATTAGTGGACAACTTGACTCGGTGAAACGTGTGATATGCATGGATGATGATATCCCATCTGATGCCTCATCTGTTGAACATGGCTGGACAATCACTTCCTTTACTGATGTTGAGAAACTTGGTAGAGAAAATCCTGTTGATGCTGATTTACCTCTTCCTGCGGATGTTGCAGTTATAATGTATACAAGTGGAAGTACAGGATTACCTAAGGTTAGAAGCATCTTCGACATATGTGGCTCTTCCTAAATAGTATTTCAGATTGAACCATAATTGAGTACTTTCTTTCTTCCTGTTCCCTTTCCATTCTCTCGTTTATATTGTTGTACTGTTTCTTCAATTTATATATTTATTTTGCTCAGGGTGTAATGATGACACATGGCAATGTCTTAGCTACGGTCTCTGCTGTGATGACAATTGTTCCTAACCTTGGGAAAAAGGATATATATCTAGCATACTTACCAATGGCTCATATTCTAGAATTAGCAGCTGAGGTATGGGGATGTAGTCTTCTGAATAATTTCAATAAATATTTCTGTTTGAGGCATTCTGTTTCCACTTTTTTTTTCGTTTTTTGACAAACTCGAACACATTTTAGAATTTGATGGCAGCTGTTGGGGTTGCTATAGGATATGGATCTCCTTTGACCCTAACTGATACATCAAACAAGATAAAAAAAGGAACAAATGGGGACGCTACTATGTTGAAGCCGACATTAATGGCGGCTGTGCCAGCAATTCTTGATCGTGTTCGTGATGGAGTGTTCAAGAAGGTATTTTGATTTGTGACTCGTGAATAAACACCTATGTATCATGCATCAAGAGTATCATGTGTGTGTTAGTAAACTAGTTGCATGAAACCTGCCTTTATACAAGTCAGTGGAGCAAGACTGAAGACTTTATGCTTTTGCCAATGCAGGTAAATGCAACAGGAGGATTATCAAAGAAGTTGTTTGATTTAGCCTATGCAAGGAGGTTGCATGCAGTTAATGGTAGCTGGTTTGGAGCTTGGGGATTGGAAAAGGCTCTCTGGAATTTTCTTGTGTTTAAAAAGGTTCGAGCAATTCTGGGTGGTCGTATCCGATTTATACTGTCCGGCGGTGCTCCTCTTTCTAGTGATACTCAGCGATTCATCAATATATGTCTTGGGTCAGTCTTGTCAATATTTAATATATATTTTTCAAATTAAAGAAGTAATATGATTATGGAAGAATATGAATGAAGAAGAACAGAGGATATGATATCCTCCTAAAAGAAACCAAACAAAGATTGCTATATTACTTAAAAGTGCAAACATGACAAACAATAAAAAATTGTCCTTGAAAACTCTGGCCTTCCTCTCCAATTTATGCACTAAATTACAGCATGTATAGATATGTCAAACTTAAGCCTGTCTTTAACTTTGAAGTGAAATTGTTGATATTTTAAGGCAATGGCACTTTAACAATAGTTACGCTAGTTATAAGTTTCAACCATTTATTCTATGATGCTCATTCAGCATTAGAGCAATAAACCAGGAGGACCAGCTAAAGAATGAGTCAAACTTAAGAAATATACAGTGATTTTTCTAGCAATCTTCATGATGACTTGGTAGTTATATAAGTTGTTGCTTTTGTACGGAAATCAGTATCAAAAGCAACAGATTCTGAGAAAGTATTATATTAAGTTGAGTAATTGCAGTATTACCAAAAGTCAAGATAGGGAGTCTTGCTACACAAAGTTTAAATATAAATTGCTCTTCTCTGTTATGACCTGTGAATGATATGCTTCTATATCTGTTGTGGGTAGAATGACCTTCTAAAAGGATTTATACTAGATTCACTCTTGAATGTTCTGCTAAAGGAAGCAATACTAGCTTTTACTCTAGTACTTCTTTTTCTTTTTTGCTTTTTGCCTTTCTTTTATTATTATTTTTCTGTCATATTTATATTGGATTGTCATTTCCAGTTCTCCAATAGGTCAAGGATATGGACTTACAGAGACTTGTGCTGGTGCGACATTCTCTGATGTTGATGATACATCTGTTGGCCGTGTTGGACCACCTCTTCCTTGCTCGTTTATTAAGGTAATAATTGATCAGATCAATTTTGCCTTAATACATTCTAACTTGAAGGACTCTTTTTTTTTTTTTTAAGAAAAAGAAGAAGAAGAGGTGGCATGGTGGTTTGATCCTATGACCTCTAGCAAACTAACCAAACCCCTCACCACTACTGCTAGTGGCTTAACTTTAAGGACTCTATACAAATGAATGCTACCTTTTGTTCTTTATTGTGAATTTATATGGGTTTCATTTTACACTGCTGTTTAATGGAATCATATTTCTCAGTTTGGTTTGGAGCATTTTCTCCATGCAGCTTATATCATGAAACATCATAAGCACAGTTAATCTACATTTCTGACTTAAGATAATCCTTTATCATCATCATATACATTAGATAAGATGGATGAGGGATGAATGTATTTGAGAAATTGGGAGTAAGAACCATGCCCAAGATGGCTTGACCTTGTGAGAAGAATCCCAATAGAAGCTCCAGTAAGAAGAGTTGATTAGATGAAGATAGCCAATCGTTAGAGGTAGAGGAAGATCAAGAATTTAGTGAAACCATTAAAAAGCTATTATATCTAAATGTCCTCTCCGAAAATCCAAAATTTATTAAAATTGTGATGTGTACACTCTCATACACATCCAAAATTTATTCACAGTTCTAGCAGTTTGGGTAGATTTTGACTCACGCGTCTTTAATATATGGGTTTTGCATTTGTCATATTGCATGACAAAAGTTGAGTTTCCTACACATACATCGATATTTGTGTTGCATTTTCTTTTCTTTTCTTTTTATTTTAAAAATGGTGGACTTCACACTAGTTGTCTCTATAGCCTGACAAGAGGAATGTCCTACAACACACACACACACACACACACACACATATATATATATATATGAGGCAGGATCCTTTGACACCAGTGTTAAATTTGAAATTTGACACCTCATCTGAGAGCTATTAGATCAAAAAAGATCAATGGTGTCACATGCTTACAAATCAAAGTCGTTGATCTTTTTTGATCTAACGGCTCCCAGATGAGTTGTCAAATTTCAAATTTGACATTAGTGTCAAAGGATCCTGTCTCTATATATATATATGAAAGAAGTCTTCTTACTATTTACAAAAAAAAAAAAAAAAAAAAAAGAAGTCTTCTTACTAGATGAGCAGTAAGGAACTACAAGAACAGAGAATCAAGATATCCTACGAAAAGAGACCCAAAAACAAATAAATAAATAAAAGAACAAAACAACCAAGACAAGCAAATTAACTAATCAACGTTCACCAACCTAAAAATTGGAACCTTACTGCACTCATCATGAGAAGGGGACTAAGCAATAGGACCGAAAACCTTATAAATATAGTCGTGTATAGTGATTTGTTAGGAACCCAGAAACAGATTCTGAGATTTCAGACAGAGAGAGATGAGAAAAAATAGGAAGGGAAAGAGAAAAGGAATACTTTTGTACTGTTTTATTGAATTACAAACAAGGACCTAAGGAGAGAATTTTGCTTGCAAGAGTTTCCGCTTTCTACAACAGAGCTAATGCCTAGTTCCCAAATGTTAACAAATCTGAATGCCCCCTCTTCTACCCTCTCCTACTATTTAAGCTAATTTCCTACCTAACAACTTTAACCACCTAAAAATAACAATTTCAACTAACTACTCTTTGGGCCATCTCACAATTCTTCACGGTAAACATTTAACATGGTCTTGTGTTTGCCTGACATACAAATCTTCAGAAAAACTGTAAAAGTCACATTATGCAAACCTTCTCGGCATGTTTAAAGGTTATCAGCAACTTTTTCAATGTAGAAAGTTTTTTGTTTTCTATACTCATTGTACCATTTGTTTAGCATAAAAGATTTTGTTTTAAGCAGGGCCGTCAATTGTTTTCTATCAATTTTCACTACTAATCTAGTCTCAAGCAACGTGTGAACATATACCGTTTCTGGAAACCTCCCTTCAATTTGACATGTATATAAGCTTTCTGATTACAATCAAGTTCAACATGGTCAAATCTATATGCACCGTCTGCATGTTTTTAAGTGTTGCCATATTTTATGACTTTATAGAGACCATCACGATTCTAGGAGTATATATTGGATGTCATTGCCAACTATTCTTGTTTTCTTAAATCTTATCATAACTAAAGAAATGGCTAGCATCTATCCACTTCCTCGTGATCCTTTAGAATTCAAGCTTGGTTTGAAACCATTAATATTTCCTTGCTACCTGGTACAATGGTGCAATGTAAGGGAGGCTTCAAGATTAAGTCGTATTTTTCTACTAAGATTATCTAATTTTGGTAGTTTAATTTTTCTTGTGGTATCCTGTAAAAATATTTCTTATACGAACATTTGGTTTTCTTTACTCAGCTAATTGACTGGCCTGAAGGTGGATATTTAACCAATGACTCACCAATGCCCCGTGGTGAAATTGTAATTGGTGGTCCAAATGTCACTCTTGGGTACTTCAAAAACGAAGAAAAGACAAAAGAATCGTACCAGGTAAGCTTCACTGTTCTTTTTCCCTACTTGTTGGGGTTAAAAAGGCAAGGTGGGATAAAATATCACTTCTGATTTTCCGCTGTTGCTGTCATAATTCTGCTTAGTGAATTTTAAAGTTGTATTCGCTACCTTTTTTCCTTCCTTTTCTTTTTTCTTTTGGGTTTGAATTACATGTATTTACTACGTATCTTTTGTTGTAAAGGTTGATGAAAAAGGAATGAGGTGGTTCTTCACTGGTGACATAGGGAGATTTCATCCAGATGGTTGCCTTGAAATCATTGATCGTAAAAAGGACATTGTTAAACTGCAGCATGGAGAATATGTCTCCTTGGGAAAGGTACGAATATGGTTTGTAGGAAAATATTTATAGTACAGAGTATTCGTTACACCTTTTAAAAAGTAACACTTTTACACTACCCACCTTTATACTTATTTCCACCCATATCCCATATTTTTCTATATTGGGAAATGGACTATGTACTCCTGCTGTATGAAAAATGAGCTCAGTTTGTAGAATGCACAATTCTCAATAATTTTCCTCTGACTAATTTATTAAATACAGGTTGAGGCAGCTCTTATTGTCAGCCCCTTTGTGGACAATATTATGTTGCATGCTGATCCTTTCCATAGTTACTGTGTGGCACTTGTGGTGGTTTCTCAGTCCACATTGGAAGAATGGGCTTCGAAGCAAGGAATTCCTTATCTTGATTTTTCCGAACTGTGCATGAAAGAAGAAACTGTGAAGGAGGTGCTTGCGTCACTTGTAAAGGTTTGCCTTCTTATCAAAGTCCTCTAACAACTTAGTTAGCGGTGATATTTAGGAATTAATTTTTCTGTTTTTTAGAAGGTACATTTGCCTAAATCAACAGAAACAGCATAGAGTTAAAAAGTTTTTTTTTTTCTTTGGTTACATATATAGTTGAAGTCAACTAAGGCAACTTTGAGATTAACATCAGAGCTACATCCGCAATCATCTCTGGCTATACCTGTTTGAATAAGAGGAAAACTTAAAATAAAAATCACTTCTCATTTATTTTGTACAACAAAAATTTGGAATGGTTGATAGTTGCAACTTGCAGCTTATTTACACTCCACCCCACAAATGTTGTCCACTTTTTTAGCATGTAACTGAGTTTATAGTGATCTTTTACCCTCTGCCAGGCAAGAATAACTGAAAATCGAAACCTTTCCATCCCACTTTATTTTTACTTCCCTCCCTGTTTTTTTATTTTCCTCCAACTCAAACAAGAAGCATGACCTTGATGGATACAAAATTGACGTTATTGAGAGCAGGCAGAAGAGGAAAGGCGACCTTTTGCATGTGAATACGATATATTTTCGTTCAGTATCTTATTAAAGTTTTTATCCTCATGAAAAGGATACCAATACCAGTGATCCACATTTTAATCAAAGTGTTGAGATTGTCTTGTTTATTGTGACCGTGAGACTGATATTTCAATCAGGACGTTATCCTTTATCCCTGACTAAAATTTTATATTAGTTTAGTCATGTTTACTCATGACAGCAAATTTACTCCATAGAGCAAACCATTTATAGTGAGATAAAAAAAAAAGTGACCGGGTATCTCGAAATAGAGATAAAGAATTGTTCCAATGGATCTTCTGCTGAAGATTGGCCGTTGAGACATGATCGGGCCATTCATTTATCTAAAAGTTTAAATTTTTGGGTTAAATTGACTTTTTACATGGTATCTAAGCTTCTGTGACGAAGTGGTCACAAGTTTGATTCTCATCGTCTTTTGTTTTATTAAAAAAATAATTAAATATTGTGAAACTTCTTAGCAGGTAGATAGGGCATGATGTATTGTCCACCATTTAAGTCTAATTAATTTTTATGTGAGAGGCTGTGTTAAACAAATATAATATAAAAATTTTTATGCGAGGGACTGTGTTAGAGAAATATAATATAAAAACTATTAATATAACATTTACTTTAAGTTTTTGGATTGAATTAATTCTTTATAAGAACTCTGTGAATTACAACCTTTGATGTGTTGCCTTTGAAAATGGTGTACTATTATTTATTTGCAGGAAGCAAAGAAGGCTCGTTTGGAGAAATTTGAGATTCCTGCAAAAATTAAATTGCTTTCAGAACCATGGACTCCTGAGTCGGGACTAGTCACTGCTGCTCTCAAGATCAAGAGAGAGGCCATCAGAAAGGCTTTCCATGAAGAACTCTCCGAGTTATATGCTTCATAGGCTAACGAGCAAACTTGGATCTGTTTACTCCTCCCATTGAAACATGCTACTGATCTTTTTACCCTTTTCCTATTTAGTTGTTTCCTTTTTTCTTTTTCTTTTTACCTGGGCAGGGGTTGAGGTGATGTGAGGTTTTGTATCGTCGTTTTTTTTTTTTTTTTTTTCCTAATTATTCTTATCCCATGTTAAGTTACCTTCATAATGCATAACGTGAGGCTTATTACAAGCAGAAGGGCGAAGTGTTGAATTTGCTCAATAGTGACGATGTAAGGTGAACATTGTTGAACCTTTTATTATAGTGCTTGCAATTTCTCATGTTGCATGAGAAATGCAAGTTTTCCTACAGAGAGAGAAAGGCGTGGGGCCCACTTTAAAGAAAAAAATAAAAAATAGAAAAGTGATTGGCACGGACATCGAAATGAGAGTGACAGGAGAGGAGATTTCTCATGCAACATGAGAAATCTTTTTTCCTTTATTATATTGTAGCAATTTCACTTCCCGTGTAGTTAGGATTAAAAATTTTGCATATTTGTCAGTTGTTGCCCTTTTGCAAAAGTTTTGTACCAGATCCACCGGTGTACCCTGATTCCGGTAAATAAAATGGAATAGCTTACCAAAAAAAATAAAAAATAAAAATGGAAGAAAACAGATAACAAATGTTGAAATTATTTTTCAGAGAGTTTGTTAAGATCATGCAGTTTAAAGCATGTATTTTAATTTTTTTTGTGGTCATTCATGCAAATCATCAAAATATCCTTACATTAAATCCTGAAAATAAAAAGCTGTAAAATCTTCAGACTTAATATTTTGATATTCTCTTGATTATTACACTTGACTTGTTGGTTATTATTGTACTTAGGGAGCAGTTATACTTAACACTTGGTTTGATTTTACCTTTTAATTATTTTTTTATTGTTGCCCTTGAATTATGCTTGATATTCATTCTTGATTTATTATTATCAAAATCTCATTGGTCATGCGAATAGAGAGGGCAGTATTGGTGCTCGGTGACTTGCTCAACAAGCTTTATCAAAATCTCATTATTATGATCGTGTAGGCTGCAATAGCAGCTCATCCTTGATTTTGTTTCCTTTGTAGTTAACTTTTTGCTTTGGGTTATTTAGCCCTCCTTTTGTAATTAGAAAAAGGAAAAAAGAAGAAGGAAAAATCACTTCTGCTGTCGATGCATAAGTAATTTTCTCATGACATACTCAGTAGCACTTTTCATTCATTTTTATTATTCATTTTTAAAAACATAATGGGTCCTAAAAAAATTATGTTTTAGAGGTCGGACATTTTGACCTAAAAGTACCTAAAGAAATTTAATAAGCGAAGTACCTAAAGAAGTCTTTGGATAATTTATTTCTAAAACAAGTTATAAAATTACTTGCCGTCTTGTACACTCGATGATAACTCTTTCCTTTCTATCCCTTCTTCGTCATACTTAGGATCTGTTTGGAGCACCCGATAAAGAAGATAGGATAGGATAATTTATCATATCCTACTTTTATTTCTTATTTGGTGGGTCAATAGGATATGATTAGCTTATCCTATATTGTCTTATTTTATCCTATCCAATACATTATTTCTTATCTTATATGGAGAGTTGGGTTAGGATTCAACAGGATATGATACTAATATTGGATATACAATATATCCCCACGCTATCCAATAATTTGTATTTATTGTATTATATTTTGTTTTTTCTTTTTCTTTTCTCCTTCTACGTAATCTTATCATATTGCTAATCAGATGTTCATCAAACACAGGACATGACATAGGCTTATCAGTCCCATATCATATCCTACCCTTATCAACCTCATATCATATTCTACTTTTATTCTATCATATCCACCAAACGAGTCCTTAATTGTCCAAAATTCAAATCTTCATTGCTTTGTTTCCTTTTTTGACCGAGCCCCAAAACAACTCAAATAGTAAAGGTAGAGCCATAAATGGAAGACAAAATATCCTTTTGAAATGTTGAAAAGATAAAGGTAGTAAAAATATAGTCAAAACTCCAAGAGAAAGAAAGTAACTCCTTTCACTTATCAATGGTATAGGTTAGTCCAATAGATTAGATGCTTAGCCCTAGGCCCTAGCCTCGAAGTATCTGTTCACGTCCTTCAGCGACGATCCCTCTTCTGGCGTTACATAAAGGACCAAAAAAAGTGTAAGCTTGTGATATTTTTATTTTTTTTTTGGTAAACAAGCTTGTGATATTTTTTGTCATTAGCCATGTACGATAAACAAAGAAACCTAAACATTTTAAAGTTGTGTATCATTTTAAAGCATAAAGTTATATTATTTTAAGTAAAAGAAAAAAATAAATCATGAGAAAAAATAAAGAGAAAAAGTTTCAAAAATGTGGATCTCACATTTATACAAAAAAAAAAAAAAAATGTGAATCCCACCGCAAAATGACACACTTTTTTCTCAACATTAAAACATCTCAAAATTGTTGAGGTTATTGTTTTAAAAACTATGAATTGTTCTTTTTCTTTTGAAAATATATTACTGGAAATAATTATATATATATATATATATATATATATATATATGGTTTGGTGTTTGTCATTTTAAATGACATAAGTTATATCATTTTAGAAAATAGATAGACACAATGAATGGAAATCATGGGGTGAAAGTGGGTATTTTTTTAATTTAAATTTTAAATAAAAAAATATTATTTTATGTCTATCTCTCTCTTAAAATAACATAACTTTATGTCATTTAAAATGAAACACTTTTCCGATATTATATATGGGGAGGGTTATATTTATAAACTCTTACAAACTACACTGTGTACTCCCGGGAGAACACTAGGTTACTCTATGTATTTCTGGGAGAACACTAGGTTACACTATGTTCTCCCGGGAGTACATAGTGTAATTTGCAAAAATTTGTAAACGGATCCTTCCCCATTATATATATGGGTTCACTTTTTCTACAGTCAATGTAGATAATTTATTTACATTAAACTCAAAATGACGTCATTTTGAGATGAAAATCAAGGTATTTTTGCAATTATAATTTATTTCAGAGTTATAATAGTCTTTTTCATTATAATTTTTTAATTTTTCAACCCAAAACAATGTTATTTTGAGAGTTTTGGAAGCAAATGTAGATAACTTATCTACATTTACTTTAGAAATATTAAAACTTATATATATGTGTGCGCGCGCGCGCGCACGCGTGAAAGAGAGAGAGATAGAAGTGTCAGATTACATGACAACTTTTTTTTACACACTCAAAAAGTATGAGATCCATTCCATTTTTTTTTTCTCTTTTTCTATGCAATGATACCCACAATATTTATGTGTTCATGACATAACACAAAAAGTGTCATGTAACATTTTATATATATAACAGTATTCAATAATAGAAATCGAATAAAATAATTGAGATATTATATTATATTAGGTAATGTGTTCAATTCTTATTTATATAAAAAAAATAAAATAATAGAAACCGAACAGCCTAATACTTCAAGCGTAACTTGTTAGAAATTTTTATAATAACTGTGGGCTTAATCAATTGTAGTTTTTCTTGTTTTAATAAAAAATGGACTAAGTCATGATCCATACAGGGGTGCAGTATAAAACATAGTTAATTAGTGATCCTTTTGATTTGAGCTTAAATATTTGTAAACTGATTAGTGTGGATAACAATGTAAGCTTAACCTATAGGCCCACAATGGGAAGAGGACTAGGGTTAATAAGTTTGGTTAGGTCTCATCTGCATTCACAGTGAGTTGAAAAAGCCATCATTCCACAACTCGTCCTATCGACTGTTGTTATGTGAATTGCAGAGGAAAATCCTAATCTTTCCATTGCAGAAGCATCACAGAAACAAGAAGTCTTCAAAAAAATCATGAATCATATTTTTAACAAGTATAAATTTTTTGGTGTTCTAATTTCTTATATAACTTAGTAAGAACAATTGACAATCCAATTCACTTTTGAAATTTCAAATTCGAAACAAGCATATGTCGGTTTAAATTTTAAGAGATTTCAGTTGGAATTAAATATTAAAATTGTAAAAGTTAAGAGTAATTTTTCGGATATATTGTAGAAGAAGGGCCAGACTTGTCTACAGTAAGTTCATTTACACAACTGAAGTTGTACATCCTTACATTTTAGTACATTAAAGGTCACTGTGTACTTTTTGTTTTGGTTCATAAAGGTCACTTTGTACTTTAAATAGGGTTAATTAGACTAGGTGTGTAAATACTACCTATAAAAGCAATAATCTAAAAAAGCTGATGAAGTAAGGTGGGGCAATTTGATTGCATTTATCTTAGTTGTTATCTCTTCATCCGCTGTATATAGCAGTAGTCCACTACATTAGGTAACTGAGTACCCTGCAGGCCAACATCAACACTATTGTTCATAGTCATACATATCTGGTGGGGCCATGCTTATGATTTTCATTTGGTTTCCCACCGTATATATGTACATAATGCCTCACACATTTTTATTTTATTTAGTTCATAACATAACACATTGTCATTTCACTTTTCTTGCATTCTTCTTCAGTCCTCTCTTCATGGTCAACCAAAACATGAATGGAAATGGACACATGGAGGAAAAATCACGGTGCTCTTTTCACCCAAAACAAGTAGATGTTGGTGTGTGCCCCTTGTGCTTGAATGAGAGGCTTCTCATAGTGGCTGCAAAACAAGGCCATCACCATCGCCGTTCCTTTGCCTCCATAGCTTCAAAAAGGCTTCAAAGTTCCATACACAGAAGTCCATCAGCTTCTATTCACAAGATCTTTGCTTTTGGTTCTCTTTTCAGTCGCCCAGAATCCCAGCAATTGAAGTCTGAGAGCTATGATTATGATGCCTCCTCTCCCAGTCCAGAAGGAAAGAGCTTATTTTACACATTGCTTGCTATTGTCATATTTTATTCTTATCATTCTTCCTCTGTGTTTTTATAATTTATATCTATAAAGATAAAATGGTAAAAAGGAATGATTTATCTTGGGTGGGCTTAGAAGTGTAAGCATTGGTGGGTTTTTTTTTTTTTTTTTTTGTTTATTGTTCATGTGGTGATTGGTGTTCATGGATTGCTTTCATTATTGGAGGAAAAGTATTAATGCATGAGCACAAGCTTAGATTCTGATGATGACGAAATTAAGGTCAAAAGGGTAGGTGCTAATTGTGTCAAGACAGGTGAAGGTTTTTATGTCTATCATTCTTTTCTTCTTGGCGTGGCGTATGAGAGTCAGATGCAAACGACAAGAGCATTATGACTCTGAAAATATATATTGTAAGATTATATATTTGGTGGGGAGTTAGGCTATAAAACTAATTGGGCAAAACGTCATTCATGTTTCGAACATAAATGATGCAATTATTGAAGGTATATATGTAAGTTTCTTATATATACAGTTTCGAGAAAATTGTGCCAACTAAATTTGATTTTGCACCCACTTCTAATCAGTAAAATCCGTCAGATACATACAGAAGTTGGTGTGTGTATTACATTAATTTAGTGCAAATCTATTATTACTTTGACTGGTTTTATTTCTTAATCTATATATCCAACATTAACAGTTTTGTTGTCGGTGAACTGCATAATTCAAAGTTTAAACCAAAACGAGGCACAACATAGCCTCCTCTATTAACTTCAATTATTCTTTTCAAAAGCTAGTCAAGAATTACATGTTCCTTTTTATGTTTGTATGTATGCATGTGTTTCTTGGTATCTACAAATTATAATGACGTTCTGGATTGGCTTTAACTTTTCAGACTCATTCATCTCAATCAAGTTTGAAGAAAATGGGGTGGCCTCGTGGGAAAAGAACACAGTCTCTAAAAAGGTCACTCTAGAGAACAGCAAGAAGATGTCCTGCAACCCTCAGTGCCAGAACCTAAACAAAAATGCCAAGAGCGTGATAGAGCAATGCAAATCAAATAAAATGTTTAGGTGGCGAAAGCGTATAGGGAAGCTGTTCCATCTCATCCATTGGAAGAGGTCCACCAAGGGTGGTGTGTGCCAAGTTGGTAGCAAGGTAGAAAGAGTGAAGGTGAGAAAGGGTTTGATGAGAACGCTGACAAAGAGGAAGACCGTAGAATAAAGAAAGTGGCACCAACACTAGGCTTTTTCACTCCCCTCATACCATCCTCCCTTTTCTTGGGTTGGGGTGAGTCCTCAGTGTGTTATGTTAAAGTTATAATATATTCAAACGGTAGAGTCAAAAATAACTTTGTACTCTCAAAAATGTGCTTTAGATTACATAAAAAAGGGAGTCCTTTGCATGCTGAGTACTTGGGAATGAATGAGGTTCTTGTAATACTTTTGCTCTGTTTTCTATTTTTTCCCTTTGTTAGGTATGGAGAGTACAGGCTGTAAATAAGATAAACATTTGGGTATACCTTTCCATACGGCACTGCAAAAAGAACCCATATGGGAAACAATGAAAGCATAGGGTCCTATACCATTGTGCTATAGGCTTTGTCTTGATTGTTGTCTTGGTGGGAAAATGTCTTACTTCCTACAATTTTCAAAATAACACTCAAATGGGTTTTGGCTATTCATAGACATGTCTATGACTCTCCTCTCATCCACTATCGATAAAGAGAACAAATCCATCACAAACGACAATGTAGATCAGTAAATGACTCAATGTGCACCTAAGGTACCAGTTAAAAAGGCCTCTCATTATCCTAAGTCAAAATAGCCTTTAAGAGTCACTTTATTTTGTTTGTCACGGGGCGGTACGGTGAATGTTCCTCAATAATGAAATTTTAGACTCCTGTTCACAACCCTCCCCGTCCCTATAGTTTATGAGAAAAATATATCTCATTTTAAAGGATGTAAAGTTGTATCATTTTAAGAGAAAAAATGAGATAGATAAAGGAGGAGAGAGAGAGTTGATAAAAAAATAAAGGTGTGAGTTCCATCTCTCTGTGAGAGTGAAAAAATATAAGTTGTATCATTTAAAAAAATAAATATTTTTCTCATAGTTTATTTATGGAATTTATTTATTATTTCAAGTAACAGAGATAAGATACTGGAGTTTATTATTAAAAAAAAAAATTAGTGGATTCTACTATTTTGTTTGCATGAGATAATTATTTCATGCAACGTGAGATAATTATTTCTCTTTATTTATTGGGGACATTGACAAGTATGCCACACTTATGAATAGTATTTACTTGTATGCTACATTTCAATCAAATTTTGTCAAAATGTCACGTCACATCCTCGTTATACCAACAAGCGAGAATAGATTGGACACGTGGCAACGTCTGCACATGGCAGCCATTTTCGCTCAACAATCCAGCGAGAATAGCATGGTGCTAACACATGATAAAAGTACAGATATTCTCGCTGGTTAGCCCAACAAAAATGGCTGCTCATACAGACATTGTCACGTGTCCAGTCCATTCTCAGTTGTTGACACAATGAAAATGTGATATGATATTTTGACAAAATTTAAGTAAAATGTGACAATTCCTGTAAATACTATTTATAAGAGTTGCTGGTCATTTTCCCTATTTATTGCCCACATATTTCACCATATTCCTTTTCTTTTCGTCACTTTCTTTATTGAGAACTTTCCAGTTTCCACCTTTGGTTTTTACTTCCACAAAAAGTCACAACTATCCATTGTTGGGGTCCCACCTGTTATGCAAGTCCCATCGTTATTATAATGATACAATATCTACTTCGGGGCGATGAGGAGACAATAATTTGTCCACTTTCTTTTTCGTTTCATTTCATTTCAAACTTCAAATTTAGAACGGTCCACATTGTATGATTCATCTCCTTTGTTTGTCATCTGTTTTAAGTTTTATCCTATAATTAGTTGAATGTTTCATCAAAACACATCATTCATCTAATTAAATGAATTTGAATTATCATGTCTACTTTATTTTTAATTAGAAAACAAAAATAACATGTTCTTTTGAATTAGAAAACAACACGAACAGGTTGTGGAGGGGCGTTCCGGGTCTCCTCAGGCACTTGAATATATGTATTTGCCCGTAATTTGGTGTGCTGTTGTGTCGTTATGGTAGAACATGAGTATTGCCTGGGGACAAATGTATATTTCTAAGCTTTGGATCAGAGAGTGATTGTGCTGTTGCTGCCAACCTAATTACTAAAGCTTTGGACAAATAGCGATCGCTCCAAGTGATTAAGCCCATCCCAAAAGATTAGTTTATTACTTTATTATAGGATACGGGTCTAATAACTTGAGGATCACATTAAATTTCTATACATTACGTGATATAAAATTATATACCCTTTTAAAAGCCCCGCATATGTTGTGGCCGTCCCTGATAACAGTAAGTTTTTTTTTTTGTTTTTTTATAAAAAAAAATATCTATTAGTTAATTGGTTATCGACTAATTCGACCGAGCCAAATATGACCATGAGGGAAGCAAAATGATTATGTCAAGGCAGGAGTAATTTTTAAATTATATTTCTAATATATGCAAGAGTTCTTTGAATATGAAGGATGACAATACATAAACACATCAATATTGTGATAAAAAACACATAACAATGATGATAGAAGGTGGATTGTACAATAATAATAATAATAATAATAATAATTTAATAATAAAATCATTTTGTCGAGTGTAGGTGAGTCACATTAAAGACCAAACTATCAATTCACGATTACCATAAATTAGAGAGTTGAATTATGTTAGAGATATATAATATAAAATTATTGATGTACCTCTACTTAATAACTTAACTTTTTAGGTGAGATGACTATTTAATATGATATCAAAGCGGATGTAACTAAATAGTTATGAGTTCGATTTTCATCGCTCTCATTCTATTAATAAAAATAATTAAATATTATAGAGTTTTCTTAGTACTGATATACAAGACATATATATTATTCATCCTTCAAGTCTAATTGGTTCTCGTGTGAGGAGGTGTGTTAGAGAAATATAAAATTATAAAAATATAGTCTCACTCAATAACTTAAACTTCTGGATTAAAATGATACTTAACATGATATCTGAACGTCCGTTCACCTAATAGGTTTAGCTTTTAGGATTATTATTTAACAAATTAGAATACTTGGGAAATAGATGAATTTGTTTAAGAAAAAAATAAACATAAATTAGAGAGCTGATTTCCTTACAAGGATCAAAGTTTGAAATTATTTTGACTATTTGGATGTTATGTCTAATTTGCACGTCACTAAACTTCTAACAAGCAAACAACTAGAAATAGAAACGCCATTAGAAAATTCAATTTTCGATAGATTTTTCTTTCTTTGCCGGAGGATTTGACTGCCGGATCGCGAGATTCTTGCAGTGAAATTTCCTTCAACACATGTATTACAATTTTTATTGTCAAAGAAATGATGTGTCCCTGCACAACATAACATGGTTGCTCTTTTTTTTTTTAATATAAATCTTATATCATAGGAATTTTTCAATAAAGAAATGAAGTTCATGTTAGAATTTATATATATAAATTGTGTAGACAATCTATTGGTTATGAATTGATGGAAAAACTCGGTTCCCTCTAGCTCGGCTAAGCAGCCTTAGTGCGAAAGTCAATCAACCAGATCCTGATCTCGGATCTCGGCAATACCTCGGCCTGAACTTCACCAGGTCAAGCAGCGCAGCGAAAAATCAAAACGAAAAACAGAAGAGAGAGAAGAAGAACACAACCAGATTTAACGTGGGAAAATCTTCTCCAATGAAGAAGTAAAAACCCACGGGACCTAGTCCAGATCAGAAATCCACTATGAAAATAATGGTTACAAATAATCAAATACACCAATGTGGTGGTTAACTCAACCTCTCCAACAATGGTGATAATCAAACTACCCTAGAGATGTTTCACTCAAACTCTCTCTAGAGATCTTTCAAATGCAAAGCATAAAGCTTTACTCAAACAATCAAATAATTTTTCTCTCAAATTTTGTTCTCCCAAAATCTGACCTAGCCTCCACCCTCAACTAATGAGTATATATAGAGGAGGTGGAAAATAGGGTTAGGGTTTTTAGGAAACCCCTCAAATGGGCTTGGGCTTAGCATTGAAGGAGGAAGCCCAACAAATCTCCCCTCCGACTTCAATGTGTCGGCTTCAGCATCAACCCGGCTCCTTCACAGCAGTCTTCAAATTTTCTTGCTGGAACCGGCTTCATCATCATGTCGGACCAATTTTGGTCAGTGTGCACCTTGACGAGTTCGAGCTCTCCACCTTCCACCACATCCCGGATCCAGTGATACCTCACATCAATATGCTTGGTGCGGGAGTGATAGGTTGAATTCTTCGCAAGATGGATTGCGCTTTGATTGTCACAACCCAGCTCGTACTTGTCTTGGTCATGGCCGAGTTCCATGAGGAACTTCTTCATCCACAGCATCTCTTTGCTTGCCTCAGTAGCGGCAATGTACTCAGCCTCAGTTGTCGATAGTGCAACACATTTCTAAAGTCTTGATTGTCAAGAGACAGCTCCTCCGGCAAATCTCATCAAATATCCTGTAGTCGACTTCTTCGAGTTGGCGTCTCCCCCTAAATCAGAATCCGAGTAGCCTTGCAACTCGGCTTTGCCTTCTCCAAATCGGAGACATAAGTCGGTCGTACCTCGGAGGTACTTGAAGATCCACTTCACTGCTTCCCAGTGCTCTTTGCCGGGGTTTGACAAATACCGGCTTACCATTCCTACAGCATACGCCAAGTCGGGTCTAGTGCAAACCATTGCATACATCAAGCTTCCGACGACGGATTGGTAAGGGACCTTCATCATCTCATCTTTGTCTTCATCAGATCTCGGACATTGCTTTTGGTTCAGCTTTATGTGTCCGGCTAGGGGGGTGTTCACTGTTTTGGCTTTGTCCATGCTGAATCTCTTCAAAATCTTCTCAATATATTTCTCTTGACTCAGCCACAGTAGCTTCTTCTGTCTATCTCGGATAATCTTTATTCCGAGAATCTGCTTTGCAGGGCCGAGGTCCTTCATTGCGAAGGACGAGCTCAACGTCTTTTTCAGGGCGGCTATCCTCGATTTGTCTTTCCCTACAATAAGCATGTCGTCAACATATAACAACAAAATTAGAAAATCTCCTGCCTCATACCTCTTCACAAATACGCAGT